TGGTAAACATGAGAAATGTATTTTATTCATTCAGGAAGAAGTACCTACTCAGTTCATAGATAGGGCCCTACTACCTTAAAAATGCAAAGAATTTTTCGTATGTGTGCTTTGGTAAGGAGTTTTAGTTTTTAACTTACTCTTTTGAATATGTAATGTGTACATTGTACTGGAAAAAAATTCTTTTCATAAACAGATACAAGTTGGAAATATGTCACCTGCTAGCAGTTATTGTTGTTTCTGAAGTTTTATTCTAAACACTGTATGTGTATAAGAGTGTACATTTATGTCATGTCTTTAACTGCATGGCAACATATGGCTCTGCCACTTTCTCTCTCATTTTATTGTGTCTTAAAGACTGATTCATATCTTGACATATCTCCACATCTTGTGTAACAGGTGCTATAGTATCCATATAAGATACAGCTGTTGTTTGTATAAATATACAGGAAAGTGTGGCTGCCTATTGATATCTTTTCCTACATAGTCTTTTTTTTTTTGGTACCAGAGATAGAACTCACAACCTCACACTTGCCAAGTAGGTGCTCATGCCACTGAGCTAAATTCCCCAGCCCTAGTCCATTTTTCAGTTGGCACAGGTATCTTGTCTTACATTTGTTGAATTTTCTGAACCATGTTAGTGCATTTCTATAAAGGGCTGGGGATATAGCTCAGTACAAAGGTCCTGGGTTCAATCCCCAGTATGGCAAAAATAATGTAGTAGCAGCAGTAGTAGTAGTATATTAATGTGAAAAACAGCATGCACATGTGTGTGTAAACTGTATATATACCTGTTCCTCAGTTTCCTGTGGGATGTTTGTTGCACATAACAAAATTCTCAAATACTCAAGTCTGCTTATAAGATGGCACAGAATTCTCATGTAACTTAAGCACAGCCGTCCATATACTTTAAATCACCTGTGGGAAATAATGACAAGGAAAAAAGCTGTATGTATTCAGTACAAGTGAGGGTTTTTTTTCAAATTTTGATCTGCAGTTGGTTGAATTCAAGGATGCAGAACCCACAGATACAGAGGGCTGATGGTACTTAAGGCATTGATATTGCATGATGTCGTCCCTTAGCCTCCCACATGCCCCTCCTTTATCATAGGAGGTCTCTCCCCCAGAGGTAACTACTACACTGAATCTAGGGTTAATCTTTCTCTAATTTTCCTTTTTACAGTAGTTTTCAAGCTGTAGCACATTAGACTTAACCTGCGAGCTTGTTAAAACAGCTTTCTGGATCCTACCCACAGTCTCAGACTTCATAGGTCTGGGGGCTGGGACTCAATAATTTGCATTTAAGTTCCCAGGTGATCCGATGGTTTGAGGTCAACACTTTCGGAACTACTGCTATATCTCAGCAGTACTCTTAACTTGTGTTTGATGATTCTTAGTCCTTATGAAAGCAAAAGGAAAATTACTAGGAGAGAATATTGAAAGAGCTTCTCAAAATGGAGTGGGCAGGTCATTATGAGAGCAGGATTTATGCAGGGTTCCAGCTCTTGTCTAGAATGGGAACTTCAGCCACCTCCACTTTTGACTGCAGGCATCTGGAAGGACCTAACCAACTGGACAATTACATTGTGCCCAAAGCCTTGAGATGCATATCAGGCACTTATTAGACTCTCCTTCCATGGACATTTCCATTCTGTTTATACTTACACTGTTTCTTTTGTCCTCCTTTGGGTCACCTAGCCAGCATCTCCCTCTTTCTTTCTGCTTTCCTTCCTTCCTTCCTCTTTTCTTTTTTTCAAGACAGGGTCTCACTGTATAGTTCAGGCAAGACCTTAAACTTACTGTGCACCCCAGGCTGGCCTTAAACTTGCAGTGATCCTCCTGCCTCAGCCTCCCAAGTGGTGGGATTACAGTTGAGCACCACCATTCCTGACGACTGGTATTTCTTCTCAACGTATAAACTCCCTTTTTTCTGCTTTCCTCACAACTGAGTCAGAGCTGTCTGAACCCATGTGTGTTGAATTACAGTTTCTAAGATCCCCCAAATAAAGTCTCATTTCTAAGACCCCCAAATAAATTCTTTTTTTTTTTTTTTTTTTTTTTTTTTTTTTACTTTTCCAGCCTCTGAGTTTGTATTAGTCAACAGCCTTTAGTCCTTTAGTCTTCCTCTAAAATCTGGCCACTCAATAAATGTCTCTTAAGGATCTGGCCCCTTCATTCTCTACTCCATTTTCTATCACTCAACTTGAGATTGCTTAGTCTTTGTTTAGTATTTTCATTAATTTTCTCAGTTTAATTTGACCAGTCTCCAGTTTTTTCTTCTCTGTTGGTCACTCTGTTCCTGGAGTTCTAGGCCAGAGGGACCCTGACTTTGGGAAGTTTCAGTAGATCAGTTGTGACTATTCACCCCAGAAACAAATGGGAAAGGTGATGTTGAAAGACAGAAAAGGAAATTTTTCAACATAGCTATGTCAGGAAGACAAGGGGGGATGGGTTGTCAGATGTCTTCAGGGATACAGACATGAGCTCCCGAATTAGATAGGGAAGGGAGGCCGGAAGTATGCAAAGTATGGTTGATCATCAGCTCAGCAAAGGCCATGCTGGGGTGGGGCATGGGGGCCCCTGACAAGAAAGCTGGTGTTGCCAGGGACAGAAAGATCAGACCTGTTCCTGGAATCTGAAGTGACTACAGGAGAAAGTGACTTAAAACAAAGACGACAGCTGTAAAATGGAGGCAAGATGCCAAGGTTTTGTTCTACTTTTACCTCCTAGGCCTCTGCAGGCCCAAGTAGAAAATCAGTGCTTTTCAGTGAAAGCGACCTCTGAGTCCTTGTTACAACCCCATTTTTAGGTTCTCTCTGTATTATTGTTAGTTAACCAGAAGAAATAGTGTAACCAACATTTATGTCTGTTTCATCTGGTCTGTAAGCTCCCTAAAGCAGGAATCAAGTAGAGTTTCCCTTGTGGTCTACGTCTTTAATTAAACTGCATACCAGTTTGCAAACTAGTTGCTTATAAAAGCTGAAAAGCAATGGAAATGAGTAAAACTCGCCAAGTGGTATCCATGTGCCGTATAAAGTTGGTAACTGCTACTTGGCTTTAAGTCAATTGCAGGTCCATCATTGTCTGATTTTCCCATGAGAAATCAGAGATCATCTGCAGTAACCAAAACTAAATCCAGTCCATGCTTCAAGGTCTTTGCAGTTAGTGGCTAGCTGGATGAATGGGTGGGTGAACCTGGGTCACTGTGGCAGCTCTGTCTGTTGAAACTGGGGAAATGGAGGAAACAAGCACTTGTTGAGAATGTTCTCTACACCCATGCCTATGAAAGGGGCTTCACATAGTTAAGTCACTTGACCTTCATAAAGATTCTACAGGATGGTTATCACTCAATTATTTCCTTATTTGCTTTGTAGATAAAGAAATGGGGGCCTAGAAAGGCCCATGGTTGCATCACTGGTTTTCCTTATGTATCATAGTCAGGGTTTGCAAGGGAAAGGCCTTAAGACAGGCCATATAATTTATAGGATATACTCACCCAAACAGTCGAATGCAAAAAGAGTGCAGGATGTCTGTCCATGCACTAGAAGCCCAAAGAATCCAGCTGAGGGTCTGGATCCCAAGGCAATGTCCTGCATGAGTCCAGCTGGAGACCTAGAGCCCACAACAGTGTCTCATGCAAGTCTGTGTCTACAATGGGAAGGCCCAAAGGTCAGTGATAGAAGCTAGAAAGTCTGCCCCCATGGGATGGAGGATCTGTGCCAGCAGACTGAGGGATCTGCAGTGGAGCCAGGAAATGACTCTCAAAGTAAGGAGCAGAGCTCCCCTGAAGAGAACCACAACCTTCCTCAGCAACAGTGAGGACTCAAGCTCTGACAATGAAACCTGCTGAGTTCATACCAGGAAAACCAATGCACCGAGCTTCTCCAGAAGAATCAACAGCACACCATCTTCCCCTCCAGTTGTTTCATGCTGTTGGCAACAATCCTCAGGTGGGCCTTCTGCACCTTAGAACCACACTGATTCAGTTCATCTGGGTGTTACAAGCTGACCATTGTTAATCCACCACATATGTGAGCTACCTACTTTTTAAAAAAGGATTTCAGATAAGCTCAAATGATTTATCTGGGTCCTAATCATGAATTCCAGATAGCTCTATTATGTAAAATTGCCATCACAGAAATCATGTTTTCAGAAACTAGGTGGGAGAGAGATCCGAGGAGATTTGATTTCTTAGGCATCTTGCTATCACTGTTATCCTGCCATCCCTATTCTCTTGCTTGGTGGCTACTCTGTAAGGCAGGTGAGGCAAGGACATGCTGATTGGGAGCTGGCTTTTTTTTTTTTTTTTTTTTTTTTTTTTTTTGGTATCAGGGATCGAACTCATAACCTTGCGCTTGCCAGGATTTTTGATCTCCAATTTTCAAAGCTGATTACTTTCCAACTAGGTCTTATTTTTAGGGAAACAGTAGTTACTTGTTTTCATTTCTGATTTCAGATGTCCCTTAGCTAAATAATAAAGTAATAAGCCACATGTGGTGGTATACACCTGTAATCCCAGCACTTTGGAGACTGAGAAAGGAGGATCCTCTTGAGTTCAAGGCCAGCCTGGGCTACATAGTGAGTTCAAGACTAGCCTGAACTACATAGCAAGACCCAGTCTCAAAAACCCAAGAACGAAAGAAAGAAACAAACAAACCACTACTAGCTTTGCTATAAATGATAACCTGATTCATTAACAGTATGTCCTTAGGACTTCCTCCTATTCCTTACATAGTCTTCTCTCAGAATTCAAGATCTCTGCCTGCCAAATCTTAATTTTTCACTTGAGCCTAGTAGAAGAGGGACAGAATCACAGATTCAGGAGCTGTTTGGAGCCAGAGCTGGTGGTGCACACCTGTATTCCCAGAACTTGAGAGGCTGAGGCAGGAAGATCACTGTGAGTTTGAAGCCATCCCGGACTACAAAGTGAGTTCAAGAACAGCCCGAACTACATAGTGAGACCCTGTCTCAAAATATTAGAAAGAAAAAATCAAAAGGAGCTGTTTGGTTGGAAAGCATTTTATTAGTGTGTTGAACCAGGAAATAGTTACTGTGGGAGAGGAATCATATTTTTCAGAGAGGCTCTTCCAGTGATGGTCAGCAGTCCTGGGTCTTGAAGGAAATGGTCACTGGGCATCAGGCTCTGCACTCCTCATTCCTTTCACCTGGAGAGAGAGAGGCAATAGTCCTATTGGGGGCCCCTGGGTGCTGGAGTTCACACAGGGAAGCCAGTGTAGGATGGGACACTGATGGTAAAGAGTGTCTGAGTTCATCTAAGCTCTTATTCTTCTCTGAACACAGTAGCTAAGGTCTCCTCTGGCTTTGGTGAGAAGAGGGTTTCATCTTTCATTGTCCCCACTCTTCCTTCCACGTCCGCTGCTGCTTCCTGCACCCACCACCCCCCTTGCCATCATGATGGGATACCACTCTTACCTTAGGAAAGGCATCCCAGTTCAAGAAAGGAAGCGACTTTTTGATGAACTAGAAGAAGAAAAGAAGAGGCCATGTGAGCAAGGGTCCAGAAGCACTCACCAGAGAAACTTCCCAAAGTACCCATGGTGCTGTTTTTCTGTTATCACAGTAAGAGCCAATGTTCTGTGTCTGTCTTACACTAACTGCTCTGCAGCAACCTTTTGCAGCAGGCACTATTATCATCCCCTGGTCAAAGACAGGGAAAGTGAAGCTCCCATAACTGAAGATGTCTGCTTCAGATCACGTAGAAACTAAGGTACAGTCATGAGACACAAACTGTGGTCCAGCTCTGTCCCTGACTCAGCCTTCTGAGCTGGGTGGATCTCATTCTTTGTAAAGGGGAAGGCGATTCAAATAAAATCTTGGCCAAACTCTTCCTCTTCTAGATCTTCTTTGGCTCTGTTCCTTGACTGCCTTCTTAGGAAAAGAGTGTGGCTGTGACAACCTCCTGAAGACTCTTTCTTTGAGTGATAATGCACTGGACAGCACCCAGGCAGTGCTGTTACTGCCACTTAGAACCCAGGAATGAGCCAAAAGGGCTAAAATGAGCCCTGCTTGCCATAAAACAAGAAAAGGAAGGGGCACCCAGGGACTTACATCTGTGAGGGCATGCCAGTTTATGAATTCTTCAGGTTTGAAACCCTATGCAAAAAGAAAGGCCAGAATGAGATCAATTCCTGGGAAAGGTGGAGATTAGCCCCAGCACTCTGGCAGCTTCCCATGCTGTTAATCTCCTTTTTAAAGTCAGTATTTTGGGTCCTGCACTAAGCAGTCTTACTCACCTCTTTCCATCTGCCAATATTCAGCAACTGGTTCTTAAAGGCCTAGGCAAAAAAGCAAGATGTTACCAAGTTGCCAAGGAGCACAGAGGTAGGGGGCACATTCATAGCAGGAGTGTGGGAGAACAATCATTTACCTCTGATCCCAGTGCGTAGTTACCAATGGTAGTTTCTTCCTGGAAAAGGAAAAAGAAAGGGACAAGTGATTATGTAATATGCACCTCCACCGCATGGTGTTCTGCCAGCGCCACCTCATCTGCCTTGCGGTCTCCATTGAGCCGCTTTGTTCTAGTGGGGTACGTGCTTAGCAGAGAGGGGAGAGGACAGGTAGAGCATGGCAAGTGTAAGACAGAGAAGTTCCAAACCCAGGTCTGCATTCATATGGAAAGTAGGTGGGGGAGAGAATAGAGAGAAGAGGACACCTCCAGAGAAAACTAGATAGTACTGTTCTGCAGTTGACTTAATTCCAAGACTTGTAGATTTGAGAAACACCCATGTTTAGTTCTAGAAACACCCATGCTTAGCCCACACAGCTGGGTGGGGAAGGTTAGCACACGGGTGGGAGCCAAGCTGCTGACGTGAGCTACTTGCATTTAATTGGCAGAGGCTAGTTTGCTTTGGGACTTTATTGCCACTAGTGCAATAAAGTCGATTTCCCTCCTCCATGCCTCCCATCTTGGCAGCTTCTTTATTTCTTCCTCACCACAGACTCACAAGTACATAGGACTCGGGCTTGACCAAATGCTTAGATTTCGTAGTAGCTTGGCATGTTTGTTTCTCAGTTTGAATTAAACATTTTGAAGTTTTCTAGGTTTCCATTTCCCGAAAATTTTAACACCACAGTGACCCCACCTTTTCTCACTTAGCAACAGTCAGATGGAATCCATACGGCCTCCTCGTAGATCGGGCTCCTTTGCTCCCCTTCCTCTGAGGCCCAAACAGCACCCCCTTGCTCATCCATACCATTCACTTGGATCCTCATCAGTTGAGTCTAAGATCCCTATGTTAGACTTTTAAATCCAGAATGGACAGCATTCCCCACCTTAGAATATGAAGGAAGTAGAAAGGGGCCCAGGATTCCTTGCCACCTGGGGACTAGATCCTAGTCATAAGGAGTCTTAGGCTTGCTGAAGCTTAGGTTCCAGAGGTGGTAGGAAGCCCCCAGCTGCCTGGAAGCTATTCACTGGGCAACAGTAGAAGCAAGGATTAGGGTGACTCCAGACACCTCACCTCAACCCCTGCTTCCTCCCAGGATCCAGTAACCTAGCCCCTACCCACACTTTAATCATTGCTTCCAGAAATATGTGTATCTGTGACCCTATCTGGCCATATTGCTTCTTGTTTCTCCAATGACCTTCTCTTTTCTTGAGTTCTCAGAACCCAGTGCCCACCTTGAGTGAAGCTTTCCTGATTTCTCCCATCACTCATTTCCCACACCTTCCCCCTCTCACAACTGCTGTATCAATTCATTGGTATCTCTCTGACATTGCACCTCGAGTAACTCACATTTTCTATTGTTCTGTTGTGCCCTGCCTCCTTTCCTCCCTTCCTCAGAGCACCAGCTTCTCATTTGGCCTCTGACTATATCCAAAAACAAAGCCACATCTCCAGTAATGGATAAAGGATAAAGAAATTGAGGGGTAGTCAAATGCTAGGCATAATAAAAGCACAGGTGAGATGCTCACCTCACGCTTCTCCAGGGCTGCCCCTTGAGCAGAGTGGAGCACCAGCAGAGAGAGAAGAGTCACAGCGGGAAGGACTGGGATCCTCATGGTGTCAAGTTTGGGGTGCTCTGAGGCGGGGCCTCATCAGTTGCCCTTTATATTCCTAAGGTGGTAGATATGAACAGAAGTGGGGACCCCACCCCACTGACTCACCCCCAGATCATGTCATCCACCCCCAAGGCTCTGGGAGGTAAAGGTAGGGACTGTTCCCTACTTGCCTTTGATTTCTCAATTCATGTTCTGCCCCAGGCATTTAGAAGGTGAGACTGCAAATGGATCTCTTCATGTAAATGTGGATGCAATGGAGACAGGCTGGACCTGTCCTTCCCAGAGACTGGCAGTGGCACCCTGCAACTGCTCCTTTTGCTTTTGCCTCTTTTTTTATATTGTTTATTCCTCCAATATTTCAGGTTCTTTTTTCCCATGCTGCCAAATCTGTCGAAAGTCCTCATACTGAAGCTTTCCATACTCTGGACTCAGTCTTATCACATTCTGGTCAAACTGTTCTCCTTGCTAGAGGCCCCATTTTCTTGTTCAGCCTTCTGGCCATACTGCTTCTTGTTTCTCCAATGCCCTTTTCTCATCTTGAGTTCTCAGGATCTGGTGCCCACCCTGGGTGAAGCTTCCCTGATTTCTCCCACTCATTTATTTCCCACACAAAACTGCTGTATCAATTCATTGGTATCTCTCTGACGTTGCACCTAGAGTAACTTACGTTTTCTGTTGTTTCCCTTTAGAATATTAAGATCCTTGGGTCAAATTTTATATCTTCTATCTCCCTAGCACCATACCTTTTACAGATTTCAGGGAGACCCAAACTTGCCGTGTTAGAATTCATAATCAAGCATCCTTCTGCCAAGCTGTCTGTGTATGTTCCTCTTTTGAGCCTACATCCTTCCCATCACTCAACTGCCCATCTTTTACTCTTGGGTGTTCAGAGAGACAATTGTCTTGACCTAAGAAGGAAAAGAATAGAGAAACATACAAGAAAAAAAATCATGTGTTAGAGATTGCCAATTGTAGATGGATCTCCATATTCTGAACTTTGAGTGTCTACTCAACTTCAGTGAGCTCTTCCCAATACACACCCCACCCCTGGCTTGGGATTTGGATCACCGCAAAGTGACAAAAGAGCCTGATGAAGCAACCTTCTCTACAATGAGGTTCAGGTGGCCCAACCAGTTCCTGGTGTAATAGGGAGGTGCTGGGACAGAGACTAGAGCCGCCAGGGGAAGGCAAGCCCTTACCTGAGGGTGGGTCTCCTAGCTCAACCTGCTGCAATACATATCAGGCCCAGGGTAGGAGGGGACATATCATTCATGAACAATCTTATTAAAGCCACAGGCTGGGCACTCTGGTCCTACGTACCCTGTCCCTGTTTAGTCTCAGGAGGTGGTCTCTGTGTCTAGTGGCGTCTCCCCCTGTGCAGAGCCACCTGAGGACACAGTGGTGGAGAACACTCAGCGAGCACTAATGGCCGTGTGGCAGTGGATGGCATGTATGGTTAGTGCTACTGGAGGGGACAAGTAAGGGAATGATGGAGTGGGTGGAGAACCTCCTAAAAAGTTTTCTTGAGGACACAGGTTTTATGTTTAATAGAGGCTTACTAATTAACAATGATTGGAAGAGCTCATTAGCCACTATTCTACCAGCATAGGGCCATCTCCAGGAGTGGAAGGAATCTGGGGCCATACAAAGTTGGAAAGGTTTTATACAAGTCAACTACATTTAGCTGCACTCATGGAAGATTCTAATTTCAGCTCTGGCAAGGTTACTCTGGCACAGATGGCCAAATACCATCATCTGTTTGGCTGCAGTGCCTGCCCTGTCATTGATCTTTTGTAACCTACCTCCCAATGTTTTCCTTTCCACATAATAATGCTAATAATAATATTACCCAATTGACTGGGAGCTTGCTATGTAGCAGGTCTTGTGCTAAATGCTCTAAGTGCATGATCTCACAGAGGTATCAGAGATTCTCTGAGGTAGATTCTGTAATTATCCACATTGATGAAGGAGCCACAGCATATAGAGGTTAAATAACTTACCCAAGTCACACAGCCAGTGTGGCAGGGACACCATTAGAGCCCCAGGACTCCAGAGCCAGAGCCTGTGTTGCTCTTGTGCTATACTGTGGTTTGTGTCTTGAAAAGGGCCTTGGCCAGCCTGTGTAGTATTTTATGTGAGCTAGACCCCTGCCCGGCAGTGGGGAGAGCACAAACTCATTGGCTCCTTCACCAGGTGTCCTCCGTGATGTGCAGCAGGAGGCATGCATTAATTTAAATGGATTCAGTTACATACCTTTTTGGACTCAAGGGCTTTGCACTGAGCTACATCACCAGCCTTTATTTATTTGTTATTTATTTATTTATTGTTATTTTGAGAGTCTTGCTAAGTTACTAAATTGACTGGCCTGGGCTCAAACTTTCAATCCTCCTGCTTCAGTGTTTTCCAGAGTACTGGCACCACACCCAGTTTAAATCACACACTCTTAACAAATGAAAACGTAGAACTAAAAGGTTCCTGGCATTTGGTTAATGTGTACCATGGAATGAACCTGCAGTTGCTTCAGTTTCCAGGTGCCTATTATATTTCCCACACCACCCATATTTTAAACCTAGTGTCCCGCCAAGCTCAGAGCTAACTATGATCCAAGCACTCTGGGAGGTTGAGGCAGGAGGATCACAAGTTCAAGCCCAGCCTGGGCAACATAGCCAGACCCTGGATCAAATGAAAAATAAGGAGAGTTGGGAGAGTAACTCAATGCAAAGGCCTTGGTTCAATCCCCACTACTGAAAAAAACAAACAACAAAACAACCACCCTAAAGTCCTAGTTTCTAGTCTTAGTAGTTAAAATTCTAGTGTTTTATAAAAGGTGCTTTATTTCTCTGAATATAAGCCAACTACTCCAGAGCTCAACCAAAGAAATTCAGTTCCTATGCTTGAGAAAAACTAGTTGTGTTGGGCTTATATATTTTTTTCACTTGTCACCCTCCTCACATTTTCAAGGTAATTGCATCTTTACCTGATTTTTACTGTAAATGCTGGTTTTAAAATCTAGAATCCTTTCTACACTCCTCCCCTGACTCCAAGTATCCAGAAAGGGTAGAAAGCTTTCAGTGGGGGAAGGGGGCCACGGTTCAGGTGGTAGGTGACAAAGGAATCCACTCAGGCTTCGGTTATTCTTTGGATGTATGCCACAGGATAAGGGAATCACATCTCCAGGCCTTGCTGACTTCCCTGTTCCTTCTCTGAGAATACCATAAACCCCATAGGCCTGCTCCCACCCCACCCCTAACCTGCCAGAACTTGAATGTGGATAGCAGGTGAGGCCCAGCCCTAATTGCTACATCACAGGCACTCAGAGGGGCTGGAGCCAGCTCCCTGGGTGTTGAGAGGGGGCTTGAAGGGACAGGCACCCAGTCTTCAGAGCTTTAGTGAGTACATAGGTGAAAAGCTATGAAATCCCTGGAAAGCAAGCCAGCTAGAACGGCACTGACACAAAAACAGGCATGTGGATCAATGGATCAGTATAGGTCAGTGTTTCCTGTCAGGAACAATCCCAGGAAAATTCATCTGATTTGACAAAAACATACACTAGAAGAAAGATTGTTGCTTTAATAAATGGTGCTGGGAAAACTGGCTCTGCACATACACAAGATTGCATCTAGAGCCAAATCTTTCACCAAGTGCTAAAATCAAAATGGATCAAAGACCTAAGTTTTAAAACAAAAACATTTAACCTTCTGAAAGATAAAATAGCTAAAACTCTTGAGGACATGGGTATAAGCAAGGATTTTCTGAACAGAACGCCAGTTGCACAAGAAATGACAAGAATCGACAATTGAGATCATATCAAATCTAAAAGCTTCTGCATAACAACACACAGATTGAAGAGACAACCTATAGAATAGGAAAAATGTTAGCCTTGGACAGAGGACTAACATCTAGAATAAAGATCTCAAAAATTAGACCCCTCTAATAAAAGATTTAATCAAAAACGGGCAAATGAAATAAGTACAGATGGCTAACATATACATGAAAAAATGTTCAATGTCGCTGACTATTAAGGTAATATAAATTAAGACAGCTTACTCCAGAAAGAATGGCTGTCATTAAGAAATCAAATAAGAACAAATGCCAGAAAAGTGGGGGAAAGGAGCCTTTCTACATTATTGGTAGAACATAAACTAGTACAACCATTATGGAAATCAGTATGGTGATTCCTCAAAAAACTAAAACTAGAAATTTTTTTTGTCTTTTTGAGACAGGACCTCACCATGCAGTTCAGGCTGGCCTTCATCTCACTTTGTAGGCCAGGCCGGTCTTGAACTAACTATGCTCCTGCTTCAGCCTCTCAAGTGCTGGGATTACAGGCGTGCACCACCACATCTGGCTAAAACTGTTTTCTATTTACCCTCTGAATATCTTCCCAAAAGACTTAAAGACATATTGATACATGAATACCTGTGATTGTAGGAGCACAATTCATAATAGCTAACTCTTGGAAGAGACCTACATGTCCAGCAACAGATGAATGGATAAAGAAAGAGTGGTATTTATGTAGAATGGAGCACTGCTGTGCCATAAAGGGTAAACTTGAGTCATTTATGGGAAAATAGATGCACTTTGAGACCATGTTGTAGTCAAGATTTATAAGAGAAAGAATTTAATACAGGATATATAATTTATAGGATCATTTTACAATATTTACCCAAAGACTCAAATGCAAAAGAATGCAGGAGATCTGTCCACACACTAGAGACCCAAAGAATCCATTTGAGGTTCTGGCTGCCATGGTGATGTCCTGCATGAGTCCATCTGGAGACCTACAGCCTATGGCAATGCCCCCCATGAATCTGACTGGAGGCCCAGAGCCCACCGCAGTGTCTCATGCACGTCTGTATCAAGGATCTGCACTGGGAAGGCCCCAGGGTCAGTGACAGGAGCTAGCAAGTCTGTGCCAATGGGATGAAGGATCTGTACTGGAGACAGGAAGCAAAACTCAAGGTAAGGACCAGAGTTCCTCCAAAAAGAACCACAGCCATCCTCAGCAACAACAAGGACCTGAGCTGCTCCAGTGATGAGAGTAGCTGAGTTCACATCAGGAAAGCCAGCATGAAGAGCTTCTCCATGAGGATCGCAGCACGCCGTCCTCCCCTCCAGTTCTCCTTTAATGCTGTTGGCAGCAGTCCTCAGGGGGGCCTTCCACACTCAGCACCACACTGATTCAGCTTGCTGGGGGTTACGAGTTGACCATTAGTTAATTTGCCACAGACCATGTTAAATTGCATGGTTTATATATATTAGCGAGAAACTCAATATATAAATAGAAGATAGATAATAGGAAATAGTCCTTCCTATTATAATAGGATACCAAAAGATAAAAAGAATGAAAAAAGAATTAAGATGTGTCATGTACATGTACCCACTCCCCATTAGGAATGCAATTGTTATGTACTGCAACCATGTACTAATAAAAAAATAAAAATTGAAAGAAGGAAGATGGTTGGGACTGGAATATTAGGCAGAACTCAAGACTTGATTGTTCCATGTTTTCTTCTTCCCTCTGCCAGTGTCAATAATAATAACACACTCCACAAAGCAGCTACATTGCCCAGCAGGTCTGGTTTCTTCCTCTGCCAGCCACCCTGTGTGCCCGTTGCTTAAACTTCTCCCGGGAAGATTTCCTGGGTTGCTCCCACTCAATTACAACCCCTCCTGCATTTTGCTAATTTATATTTACCAAGCACCCACTCAAGCTCTTAGTGCTGGGAATATGTGTTAGACCAAGTACTTGCTCTATGGAGCTTATGTTACAGAGGGTCAAACAGATCACTGTCGTAACCATAATAAAAACAAATAAATCAGGAAACTATGATATCCATGTTATCCAAGATAACTCCAGACAATGACAGGTGCTGTAAGGAAAGCAGGATGACGTCATGGTGATCCTTGGTGAAGATGGACTGGGGAGGGACATTGAACTGATAACTGAAAAGAAGTAAGAAAATAAGCAAGTCAGGCATGGTGGTACATGTGTGTGAGCTCAGCTACTGAGGTGGAGGCAAGAGGCTTGCAAGTTCTGAGTCAGTCTGTTGCTTAAAAGCAGCAATTAGAAGGGCATGTTTCTTAAAATTAAAAATAATAGAATTCAAGGACTGAGCTAGTAGTAAAGCGTCCCTGGGATCTCTCCCTAATACCACGAAGAGGGAGAAGAAAGAGAAGGAGCAGGAGAAGCGTGGGGGAGGAAAGAGAAAAGAAAGAATTAAGAATTAAATTTTTAAAAAGAATTGAGACATGAAAGCAGCAGAAGTGGCCTTCTGAGGATCTTAGATCTAGGGACAGGTAATGAACAACGATCAGTGTCCTGTGAGGGACTTTCCTAGCGAGTGCTTGCTGCTTGGAGGGAAGACCAGAGGCAAATGACGCAGCCTTGGTGAGCAGCCAGCGTTTCTCTGTAGGACTAATGAAACGCTTGTGGAAAGTTCTTCACAGGGAATCTTTCCTGGCAGTCGTGCGAGACTGAATGTTGGAACTTTAGGGGGCTGATGTAGAGGACCCCAGAAGAGGTGACTGGCCTTTATAGGAAGGTCCCCTATGCTATAGAACCTCAGTCTGCTTCAGCTGTAACTTTCAACTTGGAAGAACTGCTTTTGATCCGAGAACACTCCAAAAGTCTAGAACACCTTGGCTGTCTCTGCTTCCACCTAGGTCTCTCAGAGACCAGCCTGAGGAGACCTCCGTTCCCATTTCCCATGCCTCACTCACCTCCAAAACTGCCTGTCCCGGGTGAGGATGGAGGACCCTCTCTGGGACTGCTCCACGTGCTCCCCCCTGTGGCTGTTAGTAGGTACTGCGAGGCTCTCCCTAGCAAGTGGACCTGGATGAATGCAGCCCGGTAGCCACAATTCCAATGAGGTGGCAAGCTTGGGAAAAAAGCCACAGCTGGTCGTGCTTTTGCTCCCTGCCAGGTTGGAGCAGTTGGATTCTTTTTACTAAAATGTTTGAGGTCCTCTGTGTCTGCTGGTTTTGGGACAACAGCCAAGGGAGACAGGGGCCCTGCCCGCCAGACTTTGCAATCTGAAAGGGAGTCACTTAGACTGGCAGGGTGCTCAGGTCACCCTTTTACTTCCTTTTCCCCCTCAGGAATATTAGGGGAACACAGCAGGGCACACCGTGCCAGCTGGATGGGATTCAGAGACTTTCAGCTGCAGACCCTCCACCCCGGCCCAAGGGCTCCTCAGCCTGTGATAACCTTAAGCTCAGGACATGCTCAGAGCTTCTGCCTCTTTCACTGGCTCATTAGTGAAATCGTTTTCTGCCTCCCTCCCTGAATCCAGGAAACACAGATTAGCTGTATGTAAGACGGTGGCTTTGACTCATTCCTTCCCCCCAAATTCCTAGACGCATCAACCCTTCCTCTACCCAGTTTAAATATGAAGTGTCCACCTCGCCAAATCCATGTATTGATGGTTTGATCCCCAGTGCAGCTGTGTTCAAAATTGAAGCCTGGAGAGGTGACGGGATGATAAGGGCACCACCCTCACTGATGTGTTCCTCATTGAATGGGCTATTAAGAGGTGGGGCCTCATTGCTTTTGAAGGGTGCATCTTGTCTCCTGGAGGACACGGGGTGAACTGCTGTGCTATATCACATCCTCCTAATCATGATGGCACTGCCCCATCACAGGCCCAGAAGCAACAGGGCTAGGTGACCATGAACTGAAACCCCTGAAACCATGGGGCAAAATAAACCTTTAAAGTTGTTTTTCTCAGGTATTTTGTCACTGCAACAAAATTCTGACTAGCACAAGTATATCTGCATGCCCAGGCATTTTCTCTACTAGCCCTCACTCCTATATCCTTCCCCCCCCCCCAGGACTGGTCTCACTTTGAACAACTTCTAAACTTCAGCCTCCTGATTTGAATAGTTGTACTATTGCCCTTTCAGGCCACTAGAACATCCATGTCAACTTCACATGCAGTAAGCCTTGTATCCAGATAGACTGGGCAAAGGTGATTTTTTAACAGGTAGGGAAACTGAGGCATAGTCCGATTAGCTAGCTGCTTCTTGTCAGGGTTAAAATCCATTTCTCATTTCTGTCTGCCTACCACACGTGCTTGGTACCATTCTTAGGAGGAAGACAGACTATCTGCCCCTTAAATCATTCTTCCATCCTCCCTGACCTAGGCCATCAGTCTAGTATTAATACAATTTGTAAAAGCTTTTGGGAACCAAGATTCGTGTTTTATTTCCACAGAGAAACTCAAACGTGTGAGGTTTGTTTCTGGAAAAATGTCAGGTCAAAAAATAAAGTAGGCAGAGACAGTGGCTGCTTGTTCCTTTAAGCTGGTCGTCACCACGACACCACAGCAGAGTGGGAAGAGGTAAGAAGCAGATGAACCAGGTCCCCACCCCAGCACATGTGGCACAGCTGCAAAGGCTGAGGAAGTGAGGCTGGGCCCTTTGAAGACTGGTGTTCGTGAGGTCTCAACAGTGACCAGAAATAATTTTCTAGAAAAAAAAATGAGAAGATTAAATGATAGAGTGCAGCCACTCCTAAATCGGTTACAACTGGATGTCCTTTCATCCGCTGTTGTCCTGCCCAGTCCACCTTCAGGTCCCCTCACTTTTGCCCCTACCTAAAACAGATTTTATGGTTCCACCAAGTTAATCTCTGATCACTTTGTCTCTGGAACTGCACTTCATCCTTTATCCCCAGAGAGTCTTCTCTCTATAGTTCCCAGGGACAGTTGCTGTCCTGTCCCTATCCTTCCCCCAGTGCACTGTCCTCCTGCACCGTCCTCCTCTGGTGTACCCACGTGGCTTCCTCTCTGTTTATTCCCTCCCCTGTTCGGCATTTGGGCGGCTTTCCCCCTGTCCTGGATCATTTTCTTGGGACTCTTCCTCCACACCCCACAATGGGATCTGCTCCTTCTTCATCCCGACAGCCAGCTTCCACCTAAAAGAAGCCTCACTTTGTGGCGCTGCTGACCGAGGTCTAAGGAAATGCCAAGGTCCCAGCCTCCACCCTGCGTCAGCTCCCAGCCTGTGGGCTCCTGTCCCTCGCTGACACTCACCTACCAGAACTTCAGCCAGTGCAGCAAACTGGGTTGCATACGGGAAGCCTGGAGGACAGGAGAAGGGCTGAGGGAAGGTTGCACTGCCCCGCCACCCACTCTAGCCCCAGGCCCCTTCTGTCTCGAGCCAGGTTTCCTCAGTCCCCACACTCACCGAGGATGAAGCTGTAGCTGCTCCCTGTGGAGAAAAGATGAGAAGAGGTCACATGTGGCTATGGTGGCCTTTCTGTGCCCTGACTCGGCCTTGGGGTTCAGAAAGGGCCCATATGTGGCTCAGGCACAAGGAAGGATATCACCAAGGCCCTTCAGTCTCACTGTGGACATTCAGGCTGTGGATTTCTTCTCCTAAGGATGTATCCAGGATGTCATTTTATATGGCCTCTGAGCACACAATGACCACTGCCTGCTGGGTGGATAGAAATCAGCCATAGACAGTGGCCAAGGGAACACCACCAGGCAGTGATAACGGCATCTCTACCTCCTCTCTCTCACCACTTCCCTCCCCATTCCCTGCATTGGAAGTTCTCTCCTTCTGGGGTCAGTGATTTCTCACTCTGAGAGCAGGAAATCCTTGGTCTAGCTGTGCTTTGCTATTTTGCTAGCCTAATTCATAACCAACATACTCATTTCCTGCCATTATAACTTTGCCTTCTTTGCAACTATATCAAACATATGTCTAATGTGTTGTTTACTTTTATTTCCTTTGAGGAATAAGGCCTTCGGTTTCCCACCAACTAAGAGCTCCTTGTCCAGCTTTCCCAGGAGAGCTGATCTGCTTTCCTCTCCCCTGCTTACTCCCTACAAAGGGTCAGCCTGGAAAAAACTAGCTGCCTTTGCCAGAACCTCGATCCTCTCTGGGAAGCTCTTGCTTTCTGGTTTTCTCTGTTGCTCTGAAGCTGCTTGCTGAGAGTGTAGCTTGGAGGAGTGCTGATCCCTGCCCCCTTTCCAGTCTGCTCACAGGGCACCAGTCTCCCTCCAAAGGGATTCAGTGGCCTGGCTTTCAGAGCAAGCACGGAGAGTCCTGCAGTGAATGCCTCTTTCCGTCTCTCCTCAGCTGGCCTGTAGGAAGACTGGGCACAGCGAGCCTCACCTTGGGGGTGCTCCTCAGTGACTGCTTCCCGCTGGATGCAGTGGGATATACTTGCTGGTTTTTCTGGGGAGGAGGGAGGAAAAGGGATAAAGGCATGTGGCTCCAGAATGAACACCCCACCTTCCTGCCCCAACTGACCATTAAAGCTTTTCCTTTTTTCAAATCATATTTGGAAGACTTGCCCAGCCACAGGAGCCCACCCCTCACCACTCTTAACTGTGTAAACCCAAAGGGCCTGCACCCCTTCCTTGGCACCTCTCCTAACTCTCAAGTGAGAGCTAGGAGGTAAGGCAGGAGACCAGGGGGAAAGGTGGAGTCTAGAGCAGGCATCAGTGCTAGAGAGCTGGCCTTGAAAGTTACACTGCCACCTCTTGCCTTCCCGTGTCAGCCTGAGAGTAAAAGAGAATTTCAAATTGGCCACACTCAGGACCGAGAGGGACCGAGGACCCTCCAGGGGAGTCTGAGAGCAAAGAGGCCCACCTGATCGGCGTCGCGGGTCCTCTTCTGAATGAATGGCATTTCTACATCCTGAGAGGGGAAAAAGGAGTCATGATTGGCCTCTGTATGGTCCTGCAAGCCTTGCCAGACTTCCAAAGTGCCAGCATTCTGCTGTCTAATATCTATTCTCCTCTTAAAGCCACATCATCTCACTCATCCCACCTTTTTAATGGTCCATGCTAAGCACAGTGGCCTGGAGGAGACTGATGGCCCAGATAGATGGAGGATGCAGAGTTCCACACTCGTGATGGGAGCGGTGGTGGAGAAGTGTGTTGAGCAACACCAGCCCCACCCGCACACCTGGTGCGTTGGCAGCCTTGGCCAGAGATTTGATAGAATGACAAATGGGCGGAACCCACACAGGCTGCTCTGGGGCAGCCTAGACCCTCAGCCCAGCCTGCCTTTGCCTACACCAAACCCCGCCGCTCCCTCACAGGCCCTTTAAGCCGTGCACATATTCTCTAGGATCTTTAAAAAGATGAGCATTAGCTCCTGACCAAAGGAGTGAAGGAAAAAGGGAAAATGCAAGGAAGCAGAGGAAGAAAGGTGCTCCCCTGCTCACAAGGCAGGGGCCAGTTCTAAGCACTGGGAGAGAAGTTTAGTTTCTTGTTCTACAAGGACCCCGCCATTCACACCTGCCCTCTCAGTGCAAGGCTCAGATCCTGTCTGACTTAACTCTCTGCCTGGTCCAAAACCTGACATCAAGCTTAACCCTACTCTTAAGCCCTGACCCTAGGTCCCAAACTGCTTGTCCATCAGCCTTCAGACAGTTTTTGTTTGGTCTAACTGCTTTTAAAAATGTCAAAATTAGTAGCCAACAAATTAAAACTTAGGTTTCTGACTTTTCTTGAAAAATCAAACGCAGCTACACAGGTCCTACATGTGTGTATGCTAACATTAGGAGAAGGCCCCATGCCTGGCCCAGGCAGTGCCCAAGGGTTCTGCTTCCCAGAGGCCAGTGACCACGCACAATGAAGTGTGATCCTTCCCAAGAGCCAGGGATTCGGAGCCCTACTTGCCTGACCATCCCTCCCCCAACATCCCATCCTCCTGTCTTCCCTCAGCTTCCCTCCACAGTGCCCCTTTCCCAGCACCTGAGAGCGATCCCAGGCCCAGGTCCCTTTCCCATTGCCTCCTTGTCCGCTTCCACTTGCTCACCCTGTGTACCCACCCAGCCATCGGTCTCCCCTAGCCAGGCCAGGCCCAGCAGGGACAGCAGCAGAATGAAGACGGTGGCCCGCTTCATGATCCTATGCCTGTGAAGCCCAAAACCAGAACCCTGGGCTTTCATTGGAGGGAGGTCCTCCCACCTGTACTCTCCTCCATGACTCACAGCTTCTCTGCCCAGCCCACTCCCCCCATGTTACACAAAGCAACAGGATGGTGGAGAGATTGTGAGGGCCAGCAGCCTCAGCAAACCACCTGCTAAGGGACAGACCCAAGTCCCAAGCTCTGTCTCCTCAACCAAGGCAACAAGCTCTACACCTCACCCCTTACCTCAGTGATTTCTTTCCAGTTGAAGAAAGGAGTTCTTCGTTTGAAATCCTGGAGGAAGAGGGAGAAAAGAGTGTCAGGGCAGCCAGAACTCAGGGTGGGAAGTGGCCACCTGCTGTGTGAGTTTCCAGCCCCCTAAGGGAAAGGACTTGGGAGGGCAGTGGAATTTGAGGGTTCCATGAAGATAAGCAATGAGAGGCTGAGGGTGTTTGGGCTTGAGGTGGCATTGGTGATAAGACTGAGGTAACCCCAAGATGAGTGTAATTATTGTTCATCACAAACATATACAAATAAAAGACTGGAGTGAGATGACCCGCCTCCAAAATGAAAAGGGCAATTTTGTGCTAGGTCAGCTCACGCCTTGGGGGAGGCTTGGGGAGGGGCATGATAACCAGGATGACAAATTCTTTAAAAAGCAGAAATTCTCCTACATCCCATAATCTTCGCAAGTAGAGGCGTAACCGGGTGCTAGGGTACAGGACTTGGCCCTGTGGATGAAAAACAGGGAGCAAGTTAGCAAGAAGCCCATCCCTGCTCACCTAAGCTCAGACTCCTGCTGTCTCTCAGCCTCCAGAATCTTACTGTGACCAAGGCTGGAGGGCCAGGGATTAAGGGGAGCCAGGAGTCTCCTTCGGAAACAGGAGACAGACTAGATCTGTGAGCCATTGACCAGCCGGGCCTCCCAGCACACTGGACTGTCTTTGCTGCCAGCCTCACCTGCACTGGGGTACAACAGAACTGTAGTAAGGTGTCCCAGCCTCCCACCTTTCCAGCTGCCAGCTGACCTCCAGCGCATCACCCAAAACTGTGGGGCTGTGGCCACCTCTCAACCCCTGTGGCCAACAGCCAAGAGAGAAAAAATAAATGGAGCAGAGACCAGAATGTGGGGCAGCTATTTATTTCAAAAGCATGAGACCAAATTTAGGGAAAAGGGACGAGATTGGGGTGAGGGAGGGCCTCTTTAGGGAGAGAGTGGGATCTCCCATCCACCTGGTAGCTCCTTGCTGGGAGATCATGAGTTGCGAAAGCTGCTCTCGTCCTGGGCAAAGAAATAAGCTCTATGAGGAAGCTTGAGCAGTAGGGATTTGGGAGTGGGTCAAGGCATGGGGTGTAGACCCCTGCTTTAAAAATATATAGGGACCTTATAGCTCACCACTGTCACCAAGACACACCTGGACACCCTTGGGCTCAACAAGCCCCTGCCTTACCAGGAGCGTTACTTAGAGTCCCTTTTCCTCACCACTCTCTGGCTGAAGTCTTAGCTCCCTCACCCCAACTGTGAAGGAGAATAGAGCTCCACACTTCTCTTTCATCTGTGGACTGCCCATCTTTCTACAGGAGCTGCTCTCCAGGAAGTCCCACTGTGATCATTCCCTTCCTGCCCCCTCGAGATGGGCAGAAGTGCTTAGCTGTCTGTCCTGACTCTCTGGGAAGTGCCCATGTGTGCCCTTGCCTTTCCATTAGACTCTAAGGGTCCCAAGATCCACAGCAAGGAGTCATTCTCCCTGTCAGAAACTGATCTCTATAAAAGAGAATTTGTTTTGTTCATTCAGTGCTGCTGGGACCCTTTGACCAACCCCCATGCCCAGACGTTAGACTTTGCTTTTCCTGAAATTTGGGTCAGGCTGCCTACCACCACCACCTTCCCTCACAAGAAAGGCAGCATTCCTTAGCTTCATTCGCTCACATTAAACAGCAGAACCTCAGCCGCTCACAGCGGCCACTCTGGTGGCCAGAATGATTGATGTGCAGGGTGAATGTGATGTGGAGAGCAAGCACCCAGGGCAAAAAGCAGTGGGCACTCTGCCCATTTCTCATTCAATGCCCCATGAAAGAAGGGGCCAGGGTTGACAAAAATTCTAACAACAGAAATCTAAACATTCATATCCCCTTCTCTCTCTCTCTCTCTCTCTCTCTCTCTCTCTTCCCCTACCACCTCTCTTTCTGTCTCTCTCTTCTTTTTCTCTTCCATACTGGGGTTTGAACCTAGATCCTTTGCACATTATTTTGAGACAGGAGTCTTGTCATGTTGCCTAGGTGATACTCAAACATGTGACCCTCCTGCCTCAGCCCCAAAGTGCTGGGATCACAAACATGTGCCACTGCGTCCAGCTAAAGTCTCTCAACTTTTATACTTTAGCAACTAATTCATATTCTAAAAAAAAGAGGAGCTCAATAAAGCACTGCATAGGCCGTGTTTCACAGCGTCTGCCTGGGGAAGTGGTTTGGATTGTCCATGTGCTCTCAGCCCTCCCTGACAGCCCAGCCCCCTCAACTCTACTGTTCTGTGACAGGGAGGGAAGGACAGGACGGAAAGGAAGAGGGGTTCTCTGACTCAGCTCTCTCCTAAGCTTACATGTGTACAGGACCAGAGTGATGCCTGCCAGCCATCCGGCACTCAGCAGTTGTCAGGTCCTTTTCTCTTCTTCCCCAGGTGTGTCAGTGCTCATCAGGCCTTTTAGCTCCTCCTGACACCATATTCAGTCAATCCTCTAGGACAATGGTGGCAAACCTATGGCACTCATACCACAGTGGGGTGTTTGTGTCATTGAAAGCTCTAAAAGATTCACCATCACGGCCTGAAGTCAGGCTGTCCTTTTAACCTTCTGGATCCAGAGAGGAAACTGATATTCTGAACCAGCGCAGATCTGTATGTTGAGGCAGTAAAGAGGCTCGTCCCTTGCGCTCATCCCCAGCTCCCAGCTGTCCCCAAATTCACCACTCTTTTCAAGTCTCAGTTTGTACGTTGGTTTTGGTTTTAGTTCTGGCCTAAACACCCTCTTAGTGGCCACTATTTTTGTTTCCCTGGCTCAGTCAGAGGTATAGCTTTTCTTTCTATATTCCTCTCCTGTTAAGATCACGATTGTATAGCCTTCAGAGCTTACCTTGTTTAAGGCATCCCAGTTAATAAAACCCAGCTTGGATTTAAGAGTCTGCAAAGAAAACATAAAGAGCATCTACATCAGGTCAATGTGATTGGCCCAGGGCCTCAGGCCCAGAGAGGGGCAGGGCAACTCCTGCCTGTCAGTATCGGAAGAGGACAGGGGCTGGTTTCCTGAAGAAGAGTGAGCAGAGCAATCTTACAGAACTCACCTTCCAGAAATTGTCAAAACTGAAGACTCCAGGAGAGGTGTCAGAGTTCTGAGGGACAGATGAGAAATGGCATGGATTTAAGAAGCTACATCATGAGCAGGAGATGTGGAGAGATGTTGAGACGGGGACAAAGAACGCTTCAGCCCTCAGACGCGACCCAGGGTGGAATAACACTTCCACTCACCACGGAGTTGAGCTCACTGACTGCTTCATTTTCTTTACCATCCTCACCAAGTCTTTGTCTCTGGTGGGGGAAAAGGAGACTGATGTTCAAGACGGTTGCAACCTGTCACACCTGCTCTGGGCCCTCTCATCTTCAAGCTCTTCTGCTCCTCTCTGTGAATCTTACTTTGTCTCCTTTACACAACACCCAAAATATCCACCTCAAAGACTCCCCAAAATGATCATAACCATGTAGCCCTACCCCGTCCGTCGACTTTTATTTGTATTTTTGCCTCCCCACAAAACACTACTGCTAATGAGAGTGGCTAAATATTGTCCCACTGTGTGCGGGACACTAGACCTTATTCTGTCATATTCCTCTGCAGATGACTTCATCTTACAGATGAGGACATTGGAAGGGTCCAGAAGCTGCCCTCGGGATCATTCTGTGTCTGTACTCCGCACCACCTCAGTCTAGTTCTGACATAGAAAGCTGCAATGTAATTGTGGAAAGTGAGCCAGTCAGGTGGCATTGTCTCCATTTTCCCCAGAGGAACCCAGGCTCAGAAGGGTTAGCTGACTTGCCTGGAGATTCACAGATGACAAGTGACAAGCTGCCATTTGAATCCCTGTCTTCTAACCCAAAGCTCAGCAACCTTCACCTCTCAACACTGACTTCTTAAGTATGCTTATTTACAAATAGTTCCTTGGCCGTTTTCTGTTATTTTTATCTAGTTTTTCCCTTTGCAAAGAAACTACAGCTGTGATGTCTACTGAAAGGAGGGAGAGAATGGATGAATGAAAGAGGGGAATGGAGATCCCAGATTGTCATTTTATTTCCTGGCGGTCACCAGACACCAATTCAGAGCCGCTTACAAGAAGAAACTGATATTTTTGTTCCTTCTCCCTAGCCCTTGGTTTTCTGCCCACCCTCCTCCATCCCTTCTGCTAATGCACCCCCCCCACCCTCCAGGCTTACCTGAGAGTTACCATGGAAACTCCCAAGTTCACTGCTCTCTCTGGTTTCCTAGGGAGATGGAACATGGAGAAGTCAGTGGGAGGAAAAGACAGGATAGTGGGTTGTGGAGGAGGGATTTCAGAAGCAGGAAACGGAGGCAGGATTATGACAGAGGACCTCCCAGGACTCCAGCCCTGGCAGATCTATTTCAACCTCCTCTCATGGTGGACCAGCTTACTACGTGGAATGACAGTTTTCATGGAGAATGTCCCCATCCCTGTTTATATTTGTCTCTGCCCAAAATCCAGAAGGAAGAGCTTTGCCACCAAAGTATCTGAATGCCTCCCCTGGTTTGGCAGCAGATGCAAGCCAGACTGTTGACTTGAACTGGCCAAACTGAAGGCCCTCAGCTGAGCTTATGGCTGCATTGGGCAAAAAGTGGGTGCCAGCTGGTCCATCAGCAGAAGCCAACCTGGCCACAAGCAGGCTGGTTGGTCAGTCTTCTCTTAAATCAGAGGTAAGCTCCTCATAGCACTTCCTCATTCCTCGAGATACAGTTAGCTGCTCTGCTGTCAGGCTAAGTGCCCAGCTAGCATTGCTACTGGAGAGTTAGCCTCCACCCACTCACTATAGGCCCATCTCTGCTCTCAAGGCCTATGGTTCCCCTACACTGATATCCCCAGGACCCCTGGGATCCTCTTGTCTTCTGCTGAAGCCCCAGGGGATAACACAGTGAAACACAGATTCCTTGGTCTAGATCCTAGAGCCATCTTCAAAAATGCATTATGGATTCCATATGATTCCTCTACAAATCCTAATGGGATTATCTTTGAGAACTTGTTAAAGTAATTTTGAAATTTATCTGGAAGGATAAAGATCTGGAAATAGGTTTTTTAAAATGCTGGAAAAGATCAGTGTTAAGGAGGGACTTGCACAGGTAAATACTGACATAACACGAGCTACTGTAAATAAAGCAGTGCAGTTTCTGTGTTACAATGGATGGATCTATGTAGAGAAACAAAACTTACAGAAGCTTCCCCAAAATACAAAAGTCTTTAAAAGTGCCATTTTAAGTTAGTGATGGAAATGATTCAGTACTCAAGACTGGGGCCCCCTTGTTAAGTACTTGGGGGAAAATACTAGCGATACAACTGATCAGTTTCTTCCCTCTGCTTTTAACTATTTTCCCAAAATAGAGGAGCAACCAAAGTTCTGATCCAAAGTGTAGAATAATTAAAGAAAAAAAACTAAGTGTAGACTTTGGAGGGAGGAGTTACTTTTTGAAAATGAAATTATGTGACCATTTGTATTGAAGAGAATGAAGACATTTATAGTAATACACCAAGTGTATAATGCCACCCTAATTGCCCTCCAAGCTCTCCTGGGTGTACCATGGAAACTTCCAAGTTTACTACTCTCTCTGCTTTCCTAGGGAGATAATTTTTTAGGAGGTGGGATTGTTTGTTTATTTTTTGGGACAGGGTCTCACTATGCAGGTCAGGCTGACCACAGGCTCACTGTACTGCCCTTGAACTTGTGGCAGTCCTTATCCACCAGACTCCTGAGTGCTGGGTCTAAAGGGATGCACTCTCATGCTAGGTTTGGAGATTGGTAGTTTTGATTTCCTATGTCCTTAAGACTTTGGTATATAAAATACTAGAAGCAAAGTAGATACAAACTGGGAGAATGTTTAACATTTTGGTGGCCACCAGTGCCCAGCCCTGCAGCCACAGCTTCCTCCCGGTTGCTGGTAAGAAATGCAGAATCTCAGCCCCACCCCAGACCTGCTGAATCAGAACTTGTTTTTACACAAGACCTCTAGGTGTGGACAACAGTTGTCACACTTGCTCTGTCAGCACTCTAAAGACTGACACCTAATGCCCAGAATTCCAGGATAACTGGGAGGAAATGAACTTTCCGAAACACTTCACTGCCAGAGCAGAGTTCTGTGAGCTTTGTTCATAGCCTGGGATGAGACATTTGAAATGACTGTGTAAGCACTGGTTTACATAGGATCCTTCCCAGTCTGTAGTGTACAGTGAGCCATCACATAAGCATTTCCAATGCACTATTACTCTGGAGACTATTTTTAGGAATATGAGGCTGTTTTTAGGAACGCACATTTGGTTTTTTCCTCCTAAGTTGTCAGATTCCCCTCTCGATGCGTTGGGTGGAATTGCTTATCAGGAATGGGGCTGGGCAGAGAGGACTTCTGAAAATGGGGCAGTCACAGTCATAAATTGACAGTTTGGTTCTTACCTCATTCCTAGCCCCTCCAGCCACGCGGACTTCATTTCCTGGGTTGTCACACTGTGGGAAAGAGACAGGGAAGACTCATTCACTCAGCCCCTTCCTGCACCTCAGTGCCGGCCCCCAAAGGACAGCACTGCACCCAGCTCCTCTGAAGCAATCATCTTTCCCTTCCCAGGGGGCCCCCACATCTAGACTCAAGGGTTGACCTCTCTGCATTTGCTTCTCATGGCTGGAAGGAAATCTGGGCCCCTGGCCATTCCCCAACCACTGACCTCAGGTTTGTTTCCACCACCACCTGTATGTCTGCTCCCTGTATCTGAACCAGTGTCCTTTAAGAAAAAGAAAGCAAGAGCTCATATGTCATCTTCAAAGGACTTGCAGATGAACCCTTTGCTGGATCATAGTAAGCAGAAGAGACTCGCAGAGGCCTTCTTACCTTGGAGACTGAAAAGCTTTCATCAAAATCCCTAGAAGTTTCTGTGTCCTAGATGAGGGGAAGAGGGTAGTGTTAGGAGCAGCAACCTACAGAAGATCATTCTTTGAACTTGTCATGATCAGTCGCCTCTTCTGGCCAGACAACATTCCTAGGCCCCAAGGAGTCCATAGGGTGACCTGTCTCTAGCACCTCTCCTCAGAGCAGCCCTCCTGCCTCCTCACCCATAATGCAGGGTCCCTCGTGGGTAACCCATAGTCATTAGTGTCATCTACGCTTCAGCTCTTTAAATGTCATCTAGTTTTTGTGCTGCAATCCTAACCTTGTTCTGGGAGCTTCCCAGATGAATGTCCTATTTCTTTGTGCTCATCCCTCTTCTACCCAGACTTCCCAGGTGGGCAAGGAAGAGAAGTGGGGAGGAGACAGAACTTCCCCACCACAATGGACTGGGAGGTTAGGGAGTGGAGTAGGCAGAAGTAGGCAGGACAGCTCTTGCGGAAACCCAACATACTGCTCTAAAAAGCCTGGCCTGGGGCTGGAAAGGTGGGGAGCAGAGACAGAGGGAGCCCCATGAGGACAACTGCCAGTCATATCACCTGCTCCAAGGCTGCAGCTGCTTCCAGGGAAACCCAAGGGCCTGTCTTCTTTGCAGGGACAAGGAGGACCCTCATCCACCCCTGCCTTCACCCAAGGAACCCACGAAACTTACACGGTTAGACCCAGAACTGCTGCCACTGTTGCCACCATGGCCACCACTGCTGCCGCCATGGCCACCACTGCTGCCACTGCCACTCCCCTGGCTGCTGCTTTCCTGAGGAGCAGAACAGAGTGAAGATGAGAGACCAGGATTGTACCTCTCTTTCCCTTGCGCTTCTGCCAAGGTGAAGTGTGTTCTCTTCCCAGCCTAAGAGGAGCCGTGACCCACTCTCCCTAGTGCAGCTTGCAACAGGCAGCCCTCCTCTTACCGTGGTGGGGTCAGGGCTTCCACTGGAGGTAGTAGGTGGGGCATTGGTGCACTGCAGAGAGAAGAGCACCAGTGGATTTAGAGATCTGTCAAAGCCATCTCCACAAGCCTCTCCCACTTCCAGTCTCCTCCACCCCTCTTTTCCTAGCTTCCCGCCACACCTATCTCTTCCCAGCCTCTTCTTCCTCTTACCCCAATCCCTCTTTCTTTCTCCTTTGTCTCTTTCCTACTTTCTGTCATATGCATGTAGACAACCACTCTGTCCCCAGACTCTGGCTCTTACCCCTGAATTTTGGCTGCTGCCTCCCCCTGTACTGTAGCCAGGCTGGGCTGAAAATCGCTGCAGGGAAAGTGAGATTTAGTGTGGCATCTGGAAGGACCAGGGAGGTATGGAGTGTTAAGTGAAGAGCAGGCAAGGGCAGGTATCAGGGCAAGGTGCCTACTTTACCTGAGAACTGGTCTCCAAGTTAGAGTACCATCCATTGCCTCCCTGCCCTGTGGAACCTCCCAGGGAATTGGTTTCAAAGCTGCTTTCTGAGCCTCCAGGATTTCCATGACCTGAGAGAGATCCTAGACTTCCAAAATTTCCCTGGCCCTGGCCTCCATGACTACCATAAGGGCCAAACATGCCGTGCCCTCCAGATGTTCCCTGCAATGACAAATACATGCATTTAGCATGACTACCATGATTTTCAGCTGAGCTTCCCCATAGCCTCCCATTTCCACATTTGGCTTTCTAGTGCCACTTACCCAAGAAGTGGGGTTGCGGGCAACATCCATTTCATGTCGAATGATTTTCTCAGCCTGTTTGCCAGCTTCATTTCCTGTGTTTTCAAGAGCATGGGCTGCTTCCCCCAGCCTATTGCTGAGTGCATCTCCTCTGGCCCTAAATGCAGAGCTGGCTTCTCCGCTGTCCCCTTTGCCAATGGCATCCTGGATTCCAGAGCTGACTGCCTCTTTAGCTCCTTCACCAATGGCCTTCCCAACTCCATTGGTAATGGCATCTCCCAAGCCTTGTCCAGCTCCTGCCCCAGAACCCTGCAGTGGACCAGCTGCCCCACTGCCCAGACACAGGGCCAGCAGGAGGCAGGCCAGAGACACCTGTAGCTTCATCTCTGCCCAGCTCCCTCACTCTGGAGAATCCTCTTCCCACTTCAGTCTGCTTCTTGTGACCCTTTCTCTTCCTCTGCTTGGCAAACCCTCCTGTCTTCTCTCTCTACCTTCTTATCTGCCTTCTAGGTCTGCAGCCCCTCTCTCTTCCTTTCCCAGATGTCCCTGCTTCCCAGAGTCCTCCTCTCTATCACTTCTCCTTATACTGTAGGTTGGGAGAAGGCGAGAGGGCTGGGCAGCCCAGAGTCCCTCCCCATAGTGACTCAGGGCCCAGCCACCCGATAGGGTAATGAGCTGTAATTGTGAGCCTGTGTTGAAACAGAGAAGGAGCCATGCATCACAGAAGGAGGGAGAACTGAGATGAGAAAGACACAAAAGTGTTCGAGTTGCCCAACCCCAGGAATTTGGGGCGCAGGGTGGGGATGGGGCACATGAGGAGATAGGTGCTAGTGTCTCCTAGTGGTGGTGGGAGGAGAGGACCTAGGAGAGAGGCATTGCAGGCAGGACCCCAGAAGTGGAGAAAGAAGAGGAAAGCCCATTGGACAGGATCAGTTCGAGACCCCAGTGTAAGCCAACCAAGTTGGGGGCACAGGGTGCCAAGAAGGTGCCCTCTTGTGGTTCGTCTCAGTTTCAGCAGGCCTCCTAGCTTTCATCAGTCTCCTTCCCACACTGCCACCTAAAGCTGACTGCTCCCATACCTCCCAACCCACAGAGACACTGGGAGACAGGGGGCTGCATTTCGGGACCTGGGGCTCTGGGGAAAGCCCTCCATGGGGGCCCCAGGCATCAGGGAAATAATGGCAAGACCCTGATAGTGGCCATCAATGCACTTCAGGTAGCACCCTGGCTGTTCCTGGCTCAGAGGAGGGAGCTAGCTGGGCGGGCCAGCCACCCCAGGGAAGAGTGGGTGGGAAAGACCAGGGAGGGCGCTGACCCAGGCAGCATCCTGTTTACCTGGCCCTGGAGGGGCATGTATGGCTGTGTGAGCTCATGGCACTCATAAGGGGAAGGACTGCAACTGCTAACTGCACCCCCCCACACACACATACACAACTTCCCCAAGGACCAGGCAGTCCTGGCAAGGGAGAAGGGGTCAGCTCAGGGTCAGGAGCTATCAGTCAGCATCATGGTCCTTCCCCTAGTGCTGGCTCTGGAAGGAACTTGGGCATCCTCCCTTGGTTTTATCCCTGCCTAGCAAGTGTGACTGCTTCTTTATTCTGAGGCACCAGGTCCTCCTACTTGGCAATGCCTTGAATCACTGGGATTCATTTCTTGGTTAGGAGGGGCTGGTTTCCATCTGTCTTTCTCAACGTCTTTCAGTCAGTCTCTCCCTCTCTCTCTCCACCCCAATACCCGCACCCAAACTTGTAACATCCAATACTTCTTAGCATGTAAACATCATTCCTGACTGTCCTCAGTCCACATTGTTCCATCGCTGACTGTTTAATGATGATGAAAATGATGGTGATAATAATAAAAATAAGAAGAACTGCAGCTCTGGCTCCTCGTGGCTTTTCTGTCATCCCCATCCCTGCTTGTCAAAGCACCTTAACTTGTCTCCTTATGGAGCTGATTTCGGTTTTGCTCTGAGGCTCGGTGTGAGGAGAAGAGGGTGCAGAAGTAACTCTGGGGCCCTTGGGGTTAGTGCTGGAGACTCCAGGCCCTGAGCTTGCTGCTTCCTTTTACGGGAGGTCAGGGTCATGGGCGGGGAAGAGCCCAGGGCAAAGCACTTGCTGACTCAAGGCTCCTTCTCAGATCCCTCCTCTGAGTCCATTTTCACGGTGATGCGTACCTGCGCTCACCCTTCTCCACTAATATGTCTCTTTAATCCAAGCTACCTTCGGACTTAAGTATATTTTAAGGCAATAGATTTTATTACTAGTGTAAGTGGAAAGCCAGGATTACTTGTCCATAAATAGAAAGTCCATATGTAGAAAAGCAGGTATGAGCGATGCCGTTGCATTATAACTGGCTACAGCTCCTATATTCCTTGTAAAAAGTGTGAGAGAGAGTTAAGCACACCAGCCCAGAAATTAAGTCTTTGCCTTTAACCTAATCTGAAAACTTAGGAGAAAACTGAGAAGAGAAGAAGTTTCCCACTATGATTCAGTTGCTCAAAGCTACATCTACAAACCATTCAAATCCTTCCAAATAACCATGTCCTCTTTCTGGGATAAACCTCCCCTAGGCGTCCTGGGCCTGAGGAGCCACCTCAGGTCAGTAGTATAGCATATTTATTAAGAATGTGTTGTGGACCAAATGGAATGGCATATGCTTTCATGTTTATGACCTCAATCCTCACTGTCCAGTCAATGTTATTCCCATTTTAAAGGTGAGGTCACTGAGGTCCAGAGCGGGTGAACATCACACACAAGTCCATATGTGAAAAACTCATAGGAAAATGGAGTGGGTCAATATGTGACCCAGATCTATCTGATACCAAACAGCTTCTTCAGCATCTCCCATCCCACCCTTCTTTTACCTACTAGCACCCCAACTCTGATATGCCTGGGTCATGTCTAAGACCTTTTGTTTCAGCATTTCTCTTTAAACCACTACTTCTTCATTCAGTAAAACTATATGCAGTTCCTACTCCATGCCACACCTCCTATAGGTACTGAAATACAACGTGAGAACAAGATCTGCCTTTTTCTCCTTTGAGCTCACTGTTACGGTGGGAGAAGTTGACAGTAAAGTTAGCAGGTAGTTTTATTAACCATGAAGAAAACCACAGTGATGGAAGGAGACAGAGGAGAAGGGAAAAGTGGGTATTTTAAAAATGGGGTCAGGAATGCGCTCTTTGAGATGTAACCGATGAACTGAACTGAGACTTGAAGGAAATGCGAGGACAAACCATGAGGCTATCAGCAGATAGAGCATTCCCAAAAGGAACACCCCTGGTGCAAACGCCCTCAGGCAGGAGCCTGCCTACTCTGAGAACTGCTGTGGCTGGTGGTGAGATGCGAGGGGTTGAGTCAGAGAGATAGAGGATCGAGATGTTGGGGCATGGAGGACCTTTGCAAGAACTTCGGCTTTTTAGCAGCCTAGGTTTGCAGTACATAATGTTTACACATGTATAAAGGAGTAGGTACACGTACTTAACATATCTTAATTATCGTTATACCCCTCCCTCTGCCTCCCTCTCCTTCTGTGGATCCCCTTCCATTTTATAAAAGAACTATCTCCCAGTTTTTTATTGTCTTATCTTTTTTATGATTTATACTTTGATTTTCTCATATCAGAGAAAGTTTGTGATATTTAAGCCCATGTGTCTGATCTATTTCACTTAAAATTGTGGTCTCAAGGTGCACCCATTTTCCTTCACATGACAAGTCAATCCCTGTTTAAGGCATGGTAGTATTCTATTATGTATAAATAACCCATTTTCTTTATCCATTTATTTAGGCATATGGGCTACTTCCAAGATTTAGCTATTATTAATTGTGCTGCTGTAAACATGGATATATGTCACTGATATGCTATAATTAACTTTGCTGAGAATATTTCTAGAAGAAAAACATCTGAGTTGAATGGAATTTCTAGTTTTAGATTTTTTGAAGAATCTGCATACTGATTTCCATAGGGGCTGTTGCAATCAACATTCCCACCAACAGTAGAGAAGGGTGCCTCTTCCCCCACAGCCTTGATAGCCTTTGCTATCATTTGATTTTATGGTGATAGTCATTCTCTCTAGAATCTTAAGGTAGAATCTTAGTATTGTTTTAATTTGCTTTTCTCTACTGACCAGAGACAAGCATTTTTCATATATTTATTGGTCCCTTGCATTTCTTCTTCTGAGAAGTATCTATTCATTTAAGTTGCCAGTTTTTTGATTGGGTCTTTATTTGGGGAAGTCAGGTTTTATTCATAAATTCTAGATATTAGTCCTCTGTCAGAAGAGTAACTAGCAAAAAATTTTTCCTATTGTGTAGGTTATCTTTTCACTTTATTCTTCATCTCCTTTGCTGTCCAGAAGCTGAACAGCTATTAAAAAGGAAAAGGAAAAGAGTCAACAACAGAAAAATAACACAATGACAGAAATGACTAGTCAATACTTTTCATAAATAACTCTCAGTGTAAATGACCTCAACTCCCCAGCTACAAGACACAGATTGGCAGACTGGATTTAAAAACAAACAAACAAAATATCTCAAACTGGGTGATATGGCTCACATCTATAATTCCAGCACTCAGGAGGCTGAGGCAGGAGACTCACCAAGAGTTTACAGCCAGCCTAAACTACCTACTGAGACCCTGCCTCAAAAAAACAAAACACAAAACAATAAACTACCTCAACAGTTTTCTTCATACAAGAGGCACATCTAATCTGAAACAAAATTCATAGACTAAAAACTGAGAGTCTGGAAAACAATTTTTCATGCACCAGGACTCTGAAAGCAAGCACAAGTAGCAATCTTTTTCTCAGACAAAATGAATTTCAAGCTAAAACTTATCTGAACAGGCAAAGATCACTCCATATTAGTTAAGGGAATAATACAACAGGGAAACAATTTTAAATATATGTGTGCCACACATTGGCATGCCCAGTTTAATAAAACAAACACTTCTGGTCATAAAAAAATAAATACCAACACAACCATAGTAGGGGGCCTCAATACCGCTCTTTTATAAACAGATCAACTAAACAAAAACCAACTAATATCAGACCTGAACCACATCTTCAAAGAAAAGGAACTAATAGGTATGTATCACTGAACTACAATCCAGCCCTATTATAAGTGTCTATAGAGTATCATACCTCCACAACAGAGTACACATTCTTCTCAATAGTGCATGGAACTTTTTCCAAAGTTTCCCTACTAGTTCATAAAGCCTGTTTAAATAGATACAAAGAATTGAAATTATTTCATGTATATTGTCAGATCATACTACATTGAAACTACAAATCAATTGCAAAAAAAAACCCACAGAAATTTTACAGATACCTGGACATTAAATAACACACTTCTAAGTACTCAGTGGGCCCCAGAAGAAATCAAGGAAGAATATAAACAGTTCCTAGAACCAAATGATAATGCCAGTACAACATACTGAAACCTATAGAACAAATGAAAGCTGTCTTATGAGGGAAGTTTATTGCTGTGAATGCTCACATTATGAAAAGAGTGAGCTAAAACAATAAGCTAATGAAGCACATGGTCCTAAAGAACAATCCAAATTCCTAGTACAGGGAAGAAAATCATAAAGACCGAAGTGGAAATTAATGAAATTGAGACCAAACAAAAACAATACATCTGGGCATGGTGATGGCTTGCTGTGAGTTTGAGGCCAGCCTGGGCTACAAAGTGAGTTCAAGGCCAGACTGAAACCATCTCAAAACAAACAAACAAAAACAAAAACAGAATCAGTGAAATGAAGAGCTGGTTCTTTGAATGAATACTTGGCCTTTGGAGGCAGACGCTGAAAGAGTTCCTCTAGGGTACAAAACATGGAGGTTTGGGGAATATAGAGACCAAGGAAGGAACTTCAGGGTAAACATAGAGGCTGAATTCTAAGTATCATGAGAAGACAAGGCCTTGAATCTGACTGATGTTTCTGTTTTCTTTATGGGGTCAAACTGGCACCAGCAGCCTCACACACAGTATTCACAGTGCTTCTCTTAAAGCCTAAGTTCAAGGTCAGCTTCACCACTTCCTCGTGTGACCTTCATTTTACAACAGTTTTTACAACAGTATCCTTGTCTGTAAAGACGGGTGAACATGAGGATCACCAGCTTTAGTATGTATGTGTGAAGAGCTCAGGGAAGTGCTTGGCACTCAGAAGCATGTAGTGTGTGTTCCTGAAAGTGCTGGGTGTGTTGATATGGTCCTAAAGCCATTTAACTTTGACTCACATGCATGCACATGTCCTGAAAAGGTCAAATTTGCAGACCTATATTTAAAGAGGACAATTCTAGAGGAACTTTTTTCCCCTTGCTGAGAGTCATGGGTCAGCCAGCCACCTCACCATTGGAGATTATTGTCAGGAAATACTGTTGAATGAGTTCTGTCACCACAGCTCACTAACTAGGTGGCCTCAGGCAATGCTCCCTTCTCTGTGCCTCAGTTCCATCATTTGGGAGCAATAATCATGGTACCTACCTCATAGGGTAGCTGTGAGGATGGATGAATCATGTCTGTAAGTGCTTAGCACAGATTCAGTAAGCACCCAATAAAAGGTAGCTGTGAGAGTCCCACCCAAGCTCCTCTCCCTGTTCTTTTACATCTGCAGAAACTGGTCCTTCCTCTCTGCTGCTCCCTGGCCTTGCTCCACCCTGCTCGGCAAAGCAACCCACTTCTTGCTCACTCTTATTCTATTGCCTTTGCCAAGATTGCCCAAGCCATCTGCTCAAATACCAGACATTTTTCCCTGACCTTGACCTTGCCTCTTAAATCTCTTAATCTAGTGGGGGGGAAATGAATGTTAAACAAATAATGTTCATAATATAGTTATAAATTGTCATATGCAATATGAAGGACAAACTTAGAATACTATGAGAAATAACGATAGGTAAGTTCAGGCTGAAGAGTCATAGTAGCAATAACCTTGCTCCTTCTTGAAGGGGAAGAAGGAGCCAGTCTGGGTGACAGAAAGCCATCAGGGGCAGAGAAATACGGGAAAGTTTTCTAGCAGAACAGGCAGCAGAAAGGACCTTCAGGGAGGAAGTAGGTCCTAGTATTTCCTTTACCATTCAAAGCCTTCCTTCTCCAGAAGCTTCTCAGGAGGGACCCCACTACCACCTCCACCACACATATGCACACACAAGCATAATATAAATTATCTCATAGCTCTTTGATACTTTGAAGATCTACGTCCACTCCAAGCAAACCCAGCAAGAAAATGTACATGTAAATAAAGTCAGTGAAAGCTTTTACCTGATTAAAGAACAAACCCTCTTCAATATTGTCTTTGCAAAATCCTACACTGTAGAATTCCTTCAAGTAGGGGCTCCTCCAGTATATACTGTATATATATGAACCAGAGTTCAGAAGAGAAAAAGACGCTCAGCAGTGTCTGCTGTGAATGAATTGCTCTATGTAGTAAAGTATGGCAAATAGATGTCTGCAGTTTACTCAAAAAGCATCTAAAATGTACTGATAGATGTGTGATCAAGCAAGTATAATAAAATGGTCATTTTAGAGTCTAAGTGGTGAGAATGCAGTAGTCCTCTGTAAAACTTTCATCTTTTTGTCACTTATAAAACATTTTCAAAATAAAATATGAGCAAAGGGAAGGAACAAACATAATAAAATGATGGTATTCTACAAAATAAGGCAAAAGGCGGTGAACACAGTTTCAAGGCCGTCATGTTTATTGTAGAATTGCAGGTCCTTCCACTCCTAATATGTCCTTTAGCTCTCTTATTGTGCATTGTTTTGTATTTGTTTTCATATTCTGTTTACCGCCTGCCTCCCTGAATGGACAAATTCCCCGAGGGCACGAACATTACCTCTTAGTTTTGGTCCCTGGATTGATATAATTTAGGCATTGGAAGCAGGTTGTATTCCACATTTGCAGATACCTCACCACCTTTATAGAGGAGGAAATTATGGCCCCGAGGGTAAAGGAGGAATAAGCTGCGCCAGGCACCTGTTCCTGATGGGGAGGTAGGACACCAGCATGCTGCCAGTGCTTGGAAAGTAGTAGAGAGATTCTGGGGACAAATGTGAGAGTCGGGACTCTGGCAGTAGACTGGGAACCAGATGCAGGCCTGCAACTTTTTCATGGCTTGTGCCCTTGCCCACTGAGCCCAGTTTCCTGCCTCAGACAATGGGGCTAATAAGAGGATTTCTGCTTTTAAATTATGGGGGTCTTCAGTGGTTACAGTTGCCTTCAAACAGCTCTGGAGTCTATTAAGTGCTGAAGACAGAATGGTTGCTAACATGACTTCTCTGAGCTTTGAGTAGTCCATGGATCTGAAACCAGGCCTTCTGTATCTCCGTTCAGTCACTGGAGAAGAGACCCTCCTCCTGTCACCAAAGTGTCTCCGCCTGCCTGAGCCTTCTGCCTTCCCTCCCCTTCCTCGAGAGCTCTCCCATGTGTCTCTTTCTTCCCTCCTTATCCCTGTGGTGCCAAATGGAATAGCCTTTGTAGCTCCCTCCCTCCCCTTACTGATCATGCAATCTCGGTCTCTTTTCCCAGTCCTACAAGCCTCCACGTGCCTCCCTATAAAATGAGGCCAGTTACAATACCTCCTACCTAACTGAGTGGTTAGGAGGATTCAATTATGCCATGCATTCAAAGCACCCAGAACATTTTGATTACACCATAAAAGAAAGCTACTGTTGTTATTCTTTGGGTGCCACACCCCCTGAATGAGAATGCTACCCAGTTGGTCTTTATCTAGGTGCCCCCATTCTCTCCCTGGTGCCCTAGGTTCCCACCACTGACATCAGTAACTTTCCCTATATGGGTGCTCTTCCCAATGCTGAGCACAAACTTTTCATACTGGCAAAACATGGCTTGTCCCCATGAGCTGCCCTCTTTTAGCTGTTCATCTTGAAATCTCCACCTCGTTCCATCTTGTGCAGCAGGCCCAAGCACCTTCAGCAAAGAGCAAGAAGATAAAATGAAGGTGCCCCCACTCCACCACTTCCATCCCTCTTTACAGAGTCTGGTGGACCATGAACAGAGAAGACAGCAGGTCACATTTATTCACGTCTCAGTACAGCCTCCTTAATGTACTCCGGGAACCTCTCCCCCACCCCTAGCTCCTTGGGTCATTTCAGCAAGTATGACAACAGGAATATTAGTGTGCTTGACATCAGTTCAGGGCATGATGTTGGCGATGCTCTAGAAGAGAGGAGAGAGGGAATGAATGTAACATGCCCGGCTATGAGGCACCCAGACCTGAGCCCACACCCCCACTTTAAGAAGTGAGAAGGAGACTGGCTACTCTAGCCCAGGACCTGTTTGTGTTCTGGAACTAGCTTCAGGATGGCAGTGCCTCTTTTGAGGAAAGTAAGGAGCCATCCCTCACAATTAGAGGGGCTAGGATCTCTGTAGAAAGCAAGGAGCCTGTCCATTTGGCCTCTGAAGACCCTCTGCCACCCCTGTAGTATAGGCTCTAATGGGACTGTCACATACCCTCAGCCCTGAGTCCCCTTCTCAAGCAGTGGATATACCAAGTACAAAGGTAGAAATAAGACTTTGGGCCCAGAGTGAGAACCCGGAGTCCCCAAGAACCGTAAGTTTCAACCAGGGAAAAAGAGCTCCGAGAGCCCCCTGCCGGGCACACTGCCACAAGGCAACAGAAATGGGAGTACAGAGCTGTTCCCACCAGGGCAGAGAGGGAAGCCAGCCAGCTACTGGGAATCCAAGAAGAGATGGCAGGCACCAAGAGGGTGTGTGAAGAGATGGTTTGGCAGCACCTCCCTTTCTGGCTCCCAGATGCTCAAGTGCCCTGGAGGTTGTTTCTATCAGCTGTGTTTGCCTCAGAGGGAATGGAGCAAACCCAAGAGCTGAAAGCCAGGGCAGGTAAGGATAAGAGCCAGCCAGGAGAACAGGTTGGATGTCTCTGCAGAGACTGAGTTGGTCCATAGAGAAGCTGACCCCAAACAAGCCGTGGGAAAGGGATGAAAGATCATCTCTCAGGACAAAAAGCAGAAAATAGAAACCATACAGGCACTTACTCTCCACAGACCCAAAATGTTGATGAAAGGCTTGTTGACCGAGGCCTGGAATTCAAGAACAAAAGGTCAGTCATGGGCTCCCTCCCTACCAATACCCGCTCCAAGTAGCCCCCATCCCACCACCACCACCAGGAGCATGCTATGCCCAGAAGACTTACCCCAGATGCTAACGGGGTGGTTGCGGTTCCTCCGTGCTGGCCGGTATGCCCGCTGTTTTGAGAACCCTGTGAACAAAGCCCAGACAGCCATTAGTACCCTCCTGCCCTCAAGAGTCTCCCAAGTTCCTTTTACCCAGAGACTTGCTTCCATTTGGGGTGACTGGGTCTGCGGTGGGAGGCACGAGCTGACTCTGCATCCTCACTCTCTGTCCAGTTAGAAAACCTAAAGCCCATTGGGCTGCAGGAGTAGTGCTGGAAATGGAAAGGATGCCTACCTCCTATTCACAGGCCTTTCATGAACTCCTTTTACTTCGGTGTTGGGAAACACTCCTAATCACTGAAGGCCCTAATGGGAAGGTAAACGTAGAAGGCCTTGCAAATACCTAGACCACAGTTCAACCTCAGCCTTGACCTTAAATCAACCTTCCACACATTCTAGCCTCAATCCCTCCTCAGCCCTATCCCTGTCCTCCCCCATCACTCCGCGGTGGTGTCTCCCGAGCTGCACTCCAACCCATGCTGGGCTTGCTGTTTCAAGTCCTACACTTCAAACCACCCTCCCCAGCCTCCACTCAGGTGGTGTGACTCAGGGCCCTCTTTCCTCACTGGCGCTTCTTCCCCCTGCCTCCCTGCCTCCCTGCCTCCCTGCCTGCCAGAGGACTTGGCTCTGAACTTTGAGGCCTGAGCCAGTCCTCAAGATGTTTTTACAATATGCTGATCCAGTGACTGCTCTTGGAGATTGGAAAATGGGGAGCTGGGGGTACATGGCCTTCGGCTGTTCCCCAAGCAGCTCCCTCCTTGATGCTTATAGTTTTGTGAATAGTGCTGTTCTCCTAGGTCCTAATAACTGTTGCCCCTACATAAATGAGTGAGAGGAAGCCTTCAGGAGGCCTCCCTCGACCAGGCAGTATAGAGGAAGAGGAAGAACCACAACCTGTAATTCTCCAGCTCTCCACATGACCTTGACAAATCTCCTTAGCCTTGGTTTTCTTATCTGAGCATCAGGGAGTCAGCATCCTCAACCCAGCCACCTCAGAGGATTGTTACAAAGATTAACCACAAAGGAGCTTATCTCGAAAGCTGCTCCTCATGCTCACTCTTACACTCTGGTTGCTCTCAATAATCTTTCTGTTTGCAGTTAAGAGCTCTGATTTGAGAACTGTTTCCTGTTTCCAAGAAAGATTACATGTTCTTCACCTTAGATCCCATCAGCAGGAGGGCCATTTCCTAAAGGTGGGACTGGGTCCCTTGCACACATCTGGGCTAGGCTTTGCAGATAAGATAGCTTAATTTGCCTGACCTACAAATCAATAGCTCCTTAGTTACAGAGAAGGAAAAAGGAAGAAGGGTAATGCAGTTATGTGGCTTCTCAAGCTTCTGTGACCAATGAAAACTACACAGACTGCCCAAACGTTCCAAGAGTTGAACCTCTCCCATCCAGCCCCTTTTCCCCAGTTTCCCCACCCCTGTTCACCTACATTCAGCAGCTGGTTGGCCTCCTTGCTGGCTTGGTTGACCCCTTTATGAACATCCTGCTGCAACCTCTCCACATCCTTCCCGGCCTGACCAGCAGCATGGTGGATACCTTGACCAAGCTTCTCCGCATCTTTTCCGGCCTGACCCGCAGCATAGTGAACTGCTTGGCCATATTTCTCTGCCTCCTTTCCGGCCTGGTTGACCCCAGCATGGACCCCTTGGGCCACTTTGTCTGCTTCCTTTCCAGCCTGTTCAACAGCATGGTGGACTCGCTGGCCAAAGTGCTCCACCTCCTTCCCAGCCTCGTTGACCCCAGGTTGGACACCATGGATTACCTTTCCTCCCTCTTTCCCAGCCTGCCCTGCGGCATACTGAGTATCATGGCTAAACTGTTGTGCCTCCTTTGCAGCATGGCTAAGTTCACGGTGGACTCCTTGAGCTACTTTTTCTCCCTCCTTTCCAGCCTGACCATAAGCATACTGGGCTCCTTGACCAAACTTCTCTGCCTCCTTCCCAGCCTGACCCACAGCATGGTGAATGCCATGGCCAAACTTCTCTCCCTCCTTCCCAATCTGACCAAAAGCATGGTGAAATTCTTGACCAAAATTCTCTGCCTCATTCCTAGCCTGGTCTGCAGCATAGTAGGCTCCTTGATCTAACTTCCTTCCATCTTTCCCAGGCTGACCAAAAGTATGGTGGGCTCCTTGACCAAATTTTTCTGCTTCATTCCCAGTTTGACCCACAGTATGGTGGACCTCCTGTCCAAACTTCTCTCCCTCCTTTCCAGCCTCACCAAACTTCTCTGCCTCTTTCCCAGCCTGATCAAAAGTATGGTGGACCATTTGATCAAATTTTTCTCCTTCCTCCCCAAATGCATGATGGAATTCTTGATTCCTAGCCTGATCTGCAGCATAAAAGACTCCTTGACCTAACTTCCCTGTCTCTTTCCCAGCCTGACCAAAAACATGGTGGGCCCCTTGACCTAACTTCCCTGCCTCTTTCCCAGCCTGACCAAAAGCATGGTGGGCCCCTTGACCAAACTTCTCTGCCTCCTTCCCAGCCTGACCAAAAGCATGGTGGGCCCCTTGACCAAACTTCTCTGCCTCCTTCCCAGCCTGACCAAAAGCATGGTGGGCCCCTTGACCAAACTTCTCTGCCTCCTTCCCAACCTGACCAAAAACATGGTGGGCCCCTTGACCAAACTTCTCTACCTCTTTCCCAGGTTGACCAAAAGCATGGTGGGCCCCTTGACCAAACTTCTCTGCCTCCTTCCCAAGTTGACCAAAAGCATGGTGGGCCCCTTGACCAAACTTCTCTACCTCTTTCCCAGGTTGACCAAAAGCATGGTGGGCCCCTTGACCAAACTTCTCTGCCTCCTTCCCAGGTTGACCAAAAGCATGGTGGGCCCCTTGACCAAACTTCTCTGCCTCCTTCCCAGCCTGACCAAAAGCATGGTGGGCCCCTTGACCAAACTTCTCTGCCTCCTTCCCAACCTGACCAAAAGCATGGTGGGCCCCTTGACCAAACTTCTCTGCCTCCTTCCCAACCTGACCAAAAGCATGGTGGGCCCCTTGACCAAACTTCTCTGCCTCCTTCCCAGCCTGACCAAAAGCATGGTGGGCCCCTTGACCAAACTTCTCTGCCTCCTTCCCAACCTGACCAAAAGCATGGTGGGCCCCTTGACCAAATTTCTCTCCCTCCTTCCCAGCCTGACCAAAAGCATGGTGGGCCCCTTGACCAAACCTCCCTGTTTCACTTCCCGCCTGGTTGACCCCATGATGGATCCCATGATGGATTTTGTCTGCCTCCTTCCCAACCTGTCCAGCCGCGTGGTTGACCCCATGGGCAAGTTTTTCTGCTTCCTTTCCTGCTTGTCCGACGCCATTGTTGACTCCATGGGCTACCTTGTCCAAGCCGTGGTGGATCCCCTTTTCCATCTCCTTGCTGGCATGGCTCCCCATGTTGCTAAGTCCATTGACAACTTTCTCCACTTCCCTTCCAGCTTGAGTGATTCCATTATTGATGCCTTCAAGGGCCTTGCCCACCTCTTTCTCTGCCTTGCTCAGCCCTTGGTTGATCCCTTCAAGGACCTTCTCAATAGGGTCATCACTGGTTGCCCATCCAGGCAAGGCCCCTAGCAGCAGAAGGAGGCAGCAGGAGCTGAGTAATGTGGCAGGATGCATGTTGTTGGGAAAATGGGGAGAATGCAGAAAGGAGCCCGGGAAGCAAGACTGCTATTTATCCTGCCTCCTGCTCTCTTCTCCACCCCTCATGACTCAACTGTGCCTGTGAGGCAGTGACTTGGTGACCAGTCAAGGAAGTATTTCCCAGGGAGATTTGGTGTTGAGCAATGAAGAAGAAAAAGAAGAAGAAGAAGAGAGGGTGAGTCATGCATAGAGAAGAGCCCTAGCATCTTTGCTCCTTGCTCCTCTGAGGCCCTCCACCCGAGAGGAGGGTACCTGCCCTACCCAGCACCTCCTCTTCTTATTCCTCACCCATGGTCCAGGTCTCCTCTTTTACAAACCCACCTCCTGCAACCACCCAGACCTGTGACCCTGTGGTCCTTCAGCCCTGTTTCTCCTCTGAGGAACCTCAGCTCCGATTCCCCAGCAGTGAGAGTCTGAAAAGATAGGAGGCACAGTCAGAGAGAAGCAAAAACACTAGGAGAGTTAGGGTAGTCACTGGACCTTGCTCTTGTGGACCCCTACTCCCTCTCTCAGGTATTCTGCTCCAGCCCCTCAGGTCTTGCACCATTTCCTCAACCATGCACTACACAATTGCTACTCCATTGCCTGTGCACTTGCTCTTGTCTCTGCCTAGAATTCAGAACCCAAAGCCTCACATGACAGGCTTGTTCTCTTCATTCTGTACTTGGTTCAAATGTTACCTTCTCCAAAGCCTTCCCTGAGCACCCCTGAGATAATGTATTAGTTACCCTCTGTAATGTCATCCTCTCATTCCTATAGCATGTACTAAAACTATCTTTGTTTCTTATTGTGTGTCACCTCTATACCTCCAAACTACGAACTTCCAGAGAACAGGTCCTTCATCTGTGTGGATCACTGCTATATCCCCAGTTGCTAGAACCATGCCTAGGTCATAGTGAATATGTATAGGTGAAATACATGAGGGGTTAGAAGAAGCCAAGGGCAGAGAGGCCCAGCCTAAGCCTCAGTTTCACAGTGTGCTGGAAGGAAGGGAGCCCGAGTCCTCCCAGCAGCAGAGTCCCTTGTGGAGGGTTGCAGTCAGGATCACATTCTCATCATGGAACCCTGTCCTCTTGCCTCCCAGCCCTTTGGCAAGGGCAGGGGGTGATTGCCATGAGCTGAGACGCAGTGCCTCCTGAAAAGCCGGTTGAGGCAGCCACAGGGAGGGGCCAAGGACCTGGGGCAGCAGGCACTGTCAGCCAGCACGAGGGTTGGGGTCAGGAGCTCTTCCTTCCTGCCCTCCTTCCCTGGGGCCTCATAAACCCTGACCTGAAGCCCCAAGTGTTGATTTGTTGGCTCAGGTTGGGGGAAGAGACCAATGAGAGTTTGGCCTATGGCTGAAGAGGGATGTCAGAAGGAAGGGCAAGTGGTGGCTGCTAGGTCTGCAGCAGCATATGTACCTGGGAGCCAGTTTGGATGGAAGTGACCAAGAGCCAGTGAGTGGGAACAGTGTAGGGGTGAGAGATACATGAGGTTTAATGCCAGGGATGGAAATGGGTTTGCTGGTAGGAAGGCCAAGCACGAAGAAATGTACTGGGCGTGAGTTAGTGGGGGTGGCAGAGTTATGTGTGTGGGTGCTCAGGTGTGGTGAGAATCTGCACTTGTTTTCAGACTTTGCTCAAACCAGGGCACCAGGCCCACTCCCCTCAGAGGAGCCATGGTTCCACCCCAGATGCTGGGTAGTCAGTTCCACCCAGGACCACACGTGCCAGTCTAGAGATCTTCTCCCAGCTCAACAGAGAGAGGTGACTAATTGGGCCACCTCCACACATTAAAGCTCATCACATCTATTTCCTGGTTTCATGCCCCAGTGACAAAAGCAGATCCCTGGGTAACCCTAGGTGTGGCTCTCCCACCTCTATCTGGTCTCTAAATGATGGAGTATCCCAGGCCAGCGGGTTGCCGAGCAGGGAAGAGGGGTGATGAGCTTCTAACCTGCCCCAATTTGAGAAGTAGGGCTTCCTCCTTAAATGCATTTCATCTTTTCTTTTCTTCCATCCTCTCTCTGTCCTTCTTCTGTCTCCTGTAACCCCCAATCCCTATCTCTCTTAAGTCTTTCTGTTCCCCTTTGTGACTGTGTGACTTAGGACACTGGCACTGTTTCTAGAACTGAAATTGGCCTGGAATTGTCTTGTCAGGGGACATGGCTACCTTTGGTAACATGGTTGTGCTGAATGGAGGAAGTTTCAATAGCTGGGCCACCATGGCTGTCCCCAAGGCACTCCAAAGCAAGTGCAGGGCACGTACATAAGTGGCTTACCCATCAAACAGTCTCAGCAAGTGCCGTACCAGAGCCCTCTCTGAATAGCAGCTGCTACTGGGCTTCCCAAATCTAGTTACAGTCTGCTGCTGTTAGTATGGAATGGCAGGTCTGCCCACAAAATGATGTGGATCTGAAGCAGGCTTGGGAAGGGCATACCATAATCTATTTCTTCTCTTGTTATTGACCTGGTCAGATTTACCATTTCTTCCTTTACATCAGTTTTGATATGGGTTGGGAGTAGAGGGCTGGGGATTGAATCCAGGGCCTTCACCCTGAGCTATGACCACAGTCCTGTTGTGTTGTTGTTGTGTTTTTTGTTTTGTTGTTGTTGTTGTTTGTTTTGTTGAGACAGGGTCTTGCTATGTAGTTTAGGCTGACCTTGAGCTCAATTTATAACCCAGGCTGGTCTCGAACTTGCAAAGATCTTGCCTCAGTGTCTCAAGTTCTGGGATTACAGGCATGCACCACCATGCCCAGTTAACCCCAGCGCCTTTTAAAAAAATGTTTTTTTGAGGCAGGACCTCACCAAAATTACTATAATTAGGCTTGAATTTGTGATCTTCCTGCCTCAGCCTCCCAGACTACTGGAATTACAGGTGTGTACCACCATGCCCAAGTTGATCATTTATATTTTTGAAATAAAATTTTCAGTGGAAGGCATTTTCAAATATGTTGTGAAGCTTCATAAAATCAATCTCTTCATTCCTGGTTTTGTTTGTGATGGGTTTTTTCCTTCCTTGATTGTGCATATTAAAATCTGTCCTCCTTTGTTTGATGACTCATCTGAATTTTGGTCTTGATTCACTGAAATCACCTCATTTTTACCCAGCTTATTTTCAGTCCCTCTTCTTCAGGCCTTCCAGACAGGAAAGCTTTCGCAATTTCTGCTCCTGGTAGGTACTTGGCCAACTGAGTTCCAATGGAGGTTTGGGGAAAGAAGAGATTATGTCATTCTGTGACTTTTGGCTTCCACCTTTCCTCTCTGGATGGTGACTCCTATGGCACAAATCCCCACACCCCTAAATCTTGGTCACAGCTGCGTGTCAGCTGGCCCAACAAGCAAAGGTGCCTGCCTGTGAGTCAGCGAAGTTCACACAACTCCCCATGCCAGGGCTTTTAAATGAAGATGCCTTTGTCCACCTGTTCTTTCCCAGATGTTTACTGAAAGCTTACTTTGTGCCAGACCCTGCACTGAAAACTGGAGGCACCGTGGTGAACAAAATAGGTCAGCTTTTCTGAGCCCATGGTGGGCTCAGAGCCCATGGCAGAGACATGGACCCAGCAATCGATTACTAGTTTGCAATGCATTGACAGAAAAGCTACGAGGAAAGGAACAGGGTGCTGTGAGAAGATGTGACTTGGTGGTTTCTTGAAGAAACACTGGGGAGCAGAAGAAACCTGAAGAGGCATTATTTACTCATTTATAAATACAGGCAAATCGCATTTCACTGTGCTTCGCTCCACTGTGCTTCACATATGCTGCATTAGAAAATGCAGTTGAAGCTTTGTGGTAGCCCTGCATTGACCAAGTCTGTTGGTGCCATTTTCCTACAGCTCAGATTAACCTTAGCATTGTTTGTTTGTTTGGGATCTTGCTACATTGCCTGGATTGGTTTCAAACTTGTGCACTCATGTGATCCTTCTGCCTCCACCTTCCCAATAGCTGGAACTAGACATCCACTAGCACTTTTTAAGCAATAATGCCTTAATTGTTTTATTTTGTCTTGTTTCTTGCAGTGCTAAGGATTAAAGCCAAGGCCTTGCTCATGCTAGGCAAGCACTCTCCTGCTGAGCTATGCTCCCAGTTATGCTGATGTAGGTAGTGGCATGTGCCTGTAATTTCAGCTTCTAGGGAGACTGGAGCAGGAGGATTGAATGTTCGAGGCCACTCTGGGCAACACAGCAAGACCTCATTTCAAAAAAAAAAAGTATTTAAAAAAGTTGATTGAGATGGTGTCTTGCTATATAGTTCAGACTGGCCTTGAATTCACCATGTAGCTCAGACTGGCCTTGAACTCAGTGATCCTCCTGCCTCAGCCTTGAGTGCTGGGATTACAGGTGTGTGCCACCACACCTGGCTTACATTACTAGTTTTACACATAATGCTTTTACACACTTCCTACAATACACTGTAAGCCTAACTTTTTTTTTTTTTTTGGCCCTGAGAAACCAAAAATTTGTGTGACCCACTTCATTGCAACATTTGCTTTATGGCAATGATCTGAAACAGAACCCAGTATCTTGAAGGTAGGCCTCTATTATTTATTGAACAAATACCTTCTAAATGCCAAGTCACTTACTAGTCAACAGGAGATAAAAAGTGACAAAGATAGGTAAGACAGGGTCCCTGATGTTCCAGTGTTATGGTCTAGCAGCAAAGATAATTGACAAGAAGACAAATGAGTAAACCAGATGGGGATGTGACCTGCTAGAAGAGAAATAAAACAATGAAAGGACAACTCTAAAGTAGTCTGGGTTGCTTTGGGCTAGGCAGGGTTGTTTGTTTCTGACTTGGGCTCCAGCTTGGTTGCCCAGGCTGGCCTCAAACTCCTGGCTCAAGCGATCCTCTTGCCTCAGCCTCCCTCATCAGGCTCTGGAGTAGTTCTGCATATTGGAACCTCTAGCCAGAATGGGGAGGTGGATAAAAGATTGAGGGGGAGTGAGGCAAGGGCAGATAGTCACTGAGAAAGCAAGGAGCTTTAGCTGAGGAGTCTGAAAGGACGGTGTGGGGAAGAACCCAGAAGCAGGCACGAGAAGATCTGTTTCCAGAGATTGCGGGGGGGGGGGACACACAACGACACAGCAGCACGGAGACCGCGTTCTAGAGAGAAAAGAAAAGATCTATGAGGGCCCCCGTAAAAAAAAGAGGTTCCATTCTAGATGCCAGCGCCCCCACGTTGGGCCAGTGGCCACCTGCGTCAAGGGTATGGGGTTGTGGCGATAGCCCCAGGTCCTCCCAGCCAGCATGCTGCCTCCTCTGTGACGTCACTGGGCACTGTGACACCTCATGAGAAGCTGCCAACCCACCGGTCCTGCGCCCCGCACCTCAGTCACATCACGCACGGGTCCCAGGGAGCTAGGCCATGAAACCTTAAGAGGCCATGTCGAGACGCGACGTTGTCCTCACCAATGTCACTGTTGTCCAGCTGCTGCGACAGCCATGCCCAGGTGAGGAAGGCGCCGCTGCAACCCCCGGGAGGGACAGTAAAGGCCAATGGCAAAGAATGGCCACCTCTACCCCAGGCGTGAGGGCCCCCTAGCCGAACCGCACCCCCCACCCACAGCGAGCAAGCGCGCAGCGTGTCCAGGGTCCCTCTCCTCCGACCTGCTTCCTCTCCTGGAAGCCCCGCCCCCGGTGACTTCTCTGCGGCTGGCTGGGCCGGGGTAGGGAGGAGGGTGCGCGGAGGACCACTGGGCTTTCTCAGAGGCTGGGGGCTTAGCGCCAGCGCGAGGGAAAGGTGCAGGAGCAGGAGCCAAGACCAGGGAGCAAAAGGGCTGCTCTTGGCCAGAGTCCGGAGGAAGAACCTGGCGGACAGGCTTCTCACGTCAAAACTGACGCTGGTGGGGACCGCAAGAAAGAGGCCCTGTGTTTTCGTGGGCTCTGCCCCGCTGTACTGTATTTCACAAAACAAGGACAGCGCAGCCTGCCAGGCCACACTATTCACATTCAGGCGTGCATTCACACCAGGTGAGGCCTGTATGTCCGTGGTCCGGACTTCAGAGTGGCCACCAGAGGTAAAGAGAGAGCAAGTCACTTAGCTGACCCAGCTAGGGAATGGTGGCACTGGATTCCACCCCAGGCTTGACTCGTGCTCCAGGCCGTGTGCTGTCCTACCTCACCCAGCCAGAGGGGCACATGTGTGAGCACACGTGTGCACACATGGACACACGTGGACACCCCGTACTCAAGCCAAAAAACCTAGGCCTTCCAGGAGAACTGCCCTCATGCCTTTCTGTTTCCTCATTTCCCACAAATGGGTGGGCACTGTAGGTGGGGCTGGGCAGCCAGGACTTCAGGGTCCCAACAAAAGTTAATAGGTTAACAGCTACGGATGGTCAGTTCTGTGACTTCGGGCTTCATTTTCCCATCTGTAAAGTGGCTTCTAGCACTGTCTCACATATTCAGTGAGATGGTGTATGCAGAGAGCTCAGCGTAGCACCTAGTTAGCCCAGCACTTCCTAGCCAAATACCCGACCTGGACTGGAAGGGAGGAGAGGAGCCTTTTCTTCTGAAAGGTCACTAGATGGGCCTCGTTAGACCCCACTCTTAACCCAGGAGGACAAAGCTCCCTGTTTTATGATAGCAGAAATAAAGTTTTGGAGAATGCCAGCATTCCCAAGGTGATTAGGAACTTCAAGGTCACTACCATCAATAAACACTAATACAGTACCTTTATGAACTTGCACTGCTACTAGAAACACTCACCACCCAACCTCAGGCCATAAGTATGTGGCAGTGGAGAGAGGGGAGGGAGCCATGCCAGCTGGCCCCCAGCCCCCAACTCCATCACCTCCAGGGGCCTTTTTTCAAGGGCCTTTGATTTCCATGCCAAAACCAACTCCTAGCAGCATCATGTAGTCCTTCCAAACCTCTTCTCCTTCTCATCCCTCATGAATACTCTGAGGATCAGACTCCTTCCCTCCTCTGCAAAGATCAGTGTCTATTTGTGAGACTTGAGATCTCACTGAACCCTCTTAGCAGACTCTAGATGGCCAGGCGTAACATCCAGTAAACAAACCAAAGAGGTTCATTAGCTTGCTCAATGCCACACAGTGGCAGGTGACTGAAACAAGGCTGACAGCCAAGTCTGACTTCCCAGCTAGAAACCCTGTGCCAGCCAGAGTGTTGTCTCCGCTTCTCCTCTGCCCTCCTCAAGGCTTCCCCTGTAGCTCAGGTGGAAGCACAGCCCAGGAACAGATGGAGAGGCACATGCAGAGAGGTGGGGGCTGATGGGTTCCCACTGGTCTTGTGAGGTCTAACTACTTGGCCTCCTAAACTTGCCTGAGGGTAAGAACCACCTGAGTGCTTGTTTAAAACAAAATTCTACTGGGCGTGGTGGTGCACGCCTCTAATCCCAGCCCTCTGGAGACTGAGGCAGGGGAACCAGGAGTTTGAGATCAGCATGGTCTATGTCACAAGAGTGTCTCTAAGTGGGTAAATAAATAATTTGTTAAAACCAGTTTTCCCACACCTCAGTACACACTCACTGAGTCCTATTTTTCTAGGAAGAGGCCTCCCCAGGTAAGTGGTACCATCATTACAATTTGAGAGCCATGGCACTAAGATGTGTGTTAAGTATAAAGTATTCTCCAGATTTGGAAGTATAAAAACAGGCTAAATATCTTATTAATACCCAGATAACAGTCAATTATCTCACAGGTTCAGGAAATGGTCTTGAGATATAAACATGTGTGGAATGATTCCTGTCCTAAATACTACATATGCCACCTCATATGATCTTCACCATGATCTTCTGAGAGAAAGCATTATTTTTTCTTTTGTTTTTTGTTGAAAGTAGTCTGCTTTACAGAGGAGGAAACTGAGGCACAGAGAATATACCTCTAACGAACTGTTAAAACTACATGCCCACTGAATTTGAGTTTCCAGAGAAGGGGCCTTAGAGCACTGGTATTGTAAAACCACCCTGCTCCTCTCTCAGTCTGAAGATCAAGTGTGTCTGGGAAATAGTAGGCTACACAGCTGGCCACTAGAGACCAGTCAGCAACAGGTTGTGGGTGACAAAGACGGTTCCTTGTCTTTCATGCAGTGATAGAGCTCATTGCTTCCTTTCCCCAACTTGTCCTTCTCCCCACAGTGGTCAGAGCACCACCCCCTCCAGCACCACCGCCGCCGGCACCTGAGCCTACACCACAGCCAGTCAAGGAGGAAGTCAAGCCACACGAGTCACCTCCTCCAACACCCAAGAAAGCACCTATGAGTCAAGAGCTGACTGTGGGCATCAATGGGTGAGTTGCCTCCAGCCTGGGACCACTCCTGAAGCTTTGGGGCCTGGACTAGCTGGGGGAGTCTCTTTGTTTCTCAGCTGACTGACTGCTCGCTGTACCAGCTAGATGCCCAGTGGGACAGGATAGAGAGGCTGCCCTGGGAGATCTCCCACTCTGGGGAAGGCGGTCATCAAACAGAAGCAAGACAGTTCAGGGACACATGCTGTGAACTGTGTAGACCTCAGTAGTGTCATGAAGCTGGAGAGGGCAACACTAGCAGCGTCAGGAAGGCCTCTAGGAGGTATCATGAGAGTGAGACCTTAGTGACAAAAGGCACCAGCTGTGTCTCACTGGGGAAAAAGACCTTCAGGCAGATGGAGAAGAAAGTGTTCTGGGGTGCAAGTTCACTGTGCTCAAGGACAGCTGTGAAGTAAGTTCATCAGTGAAGGCTGTTTGAGAGACCACAAAGGGAGGAAGAAGAGAAGATGGAAAAGTGGGTACAGCAGGGGCCGAGTACACCATGGTAAGAAGTTTAGATCTTGTTTTATGGGTAGCCATGGAGGTTTTCATGCCAAGAGACAATCTGACTTAAAGTTTTAACAAATCCATCCAGCTGCGAGTTCAGAATAGGGGACAGACAAGGGACAGAGGGGAGGGAGAAACAGAAAATGGAGTTGAGCTTGATGAGCTCATGTGGGCAAGAGACAACAATGGAGCACAGATGTGGCTGTCTTTTCTCCCAGATTGAGGACTGCCACCCACCCAGTCCCCTTGAGTGGGCATCTTCCTTGGTCCATTTTCTATTACTGGAACTGAATACAAGAAACTAAGTAATATATAGAAATTTATTTATCTAGTTCTAGAAGCTAGGAAGGGATAGCATTCGTTGACTGCCTTCTTGCTGGTAGATCTGCATAGTCCTAAGGCAATGCAAAGCCTCACTTGGTGAGAGAGAGCAAGCTTGCTAGTTTGAGTCTCCTTACAAAGCTGTTACAGCGCCTATGAGGTTCTCACCCTCATGATCTCCCACTCCGAGTATCTCACTCTCTTAAGACCTAGCAATGGGAATTACATTTCAACATGAGTGTAGGTGGGATACTGACATCGTAGCATGCCCATTACCCTCTTATCTTCTGTCCCCTCCCCTGCCTGTCCCTGGACAGATTTGGACGTATTGGTCGTCTGGTGTTGCGAGCCTGCATGGAGAAGGGCGTTAAAGTGGTGGCTGTGAATGACCCATTCATTGACCCACAATACATGGTGAGAAGCAGGCAGAGGGTGGGACCAAAAAGTGTGGGATTGAGGTGGGGAGGGGCTCAGAGAGCTCTATGGAAGGCTCCAGCTGCAATGCAGAACCCCCACCAAGATGGGAACCTCTAGGACAGCGCTCTCTGCCACTCAAGACTAGGATCCACTCTATCTCCTGCAGGTGTATATGTTCAAGTATGATTCCACGCATGGCAGATACAAAGGGAATGTAGAGCACAAGAATGGACAGCTGATTGTGAACAACCAAGAAATCAAAGTCTACCAGTGGTAAGGGGAGTAGTCTGTGCCTATCTGAAACCCAGGAGGGTGGAGATTCCAGCTTCTCTCATGGAGTTTGTAAACCTCTTTCCTTGAATTGGGTATGTGCATGCCTCTGGGTACAATTTTGGAGAGACAGTCTCAGAAAGGACCTTGATTCTTCAAAGGGTAAAGAAGTACTAATCTGCAAAACACACACACACGCACACTATGGTTCTCAAGAATACTGTAACACACATCTGCTTGTTTCCTCCAAGGCATATCAACTCACCATGTCTGTAACTCAACTGCTTCCCATTCAACTCTGAGATTTCTTCAGCTCTAGGAGCAGCATGGCCATGGAGCCAGCCTTTCCACCAGATCTTACCTGCCAGCTCCTACCCAGCAGCCTGAGATGTTGTGAAAACATCCACTAGACCTGCTATCCTACTTAAATCTCCAGTGGCTTCTCATCCCCCAACAAAGGTCTCAGGTCCTGATGGGTCCCACACACGCTATGCACCCCACAAATCCACCTTTCTGTAAAGTCAAAATCAGTCCCATTATGTATTATTGGGTTCCAAATATAAACATTTTCAAAATATCAAAGAATTAAAATTCATAAAATGAAGATATTCACTATGCCCCTCCCTGGGGCTGCCTCAGACTCAAACACAACGTATGTACACATGTACATACACACATGCACATACACACACACACACACACACACACACACACACACAGGCGCATTCAAGCTTCCATAGTTTCAAACGAAGCTGTCAGCTTTCCAACACTCTTCCCAGCACATCTACACTCAGCCCCCTTCTGCTTGCTGGGGGTGAGGGAATGCAGGGGACCCAAGTCACTTAAAATGGAAAAAGGTCCTGCCCCAGGCTTCAGAGTGCTAGGACAATTTAGTGAGACTCTGTGTCAAAGTAAAAACATTTGTTAGACACACTGTGTCCTTTCCTACGTGTCTGGGCATCTCATTCCTGCCACTTGGGGCACTTTCCTGACCTCCACATAGCTGTCCTGTCTGTATGCTTCCCACTCAGGTACTGAACAGACTCTGCCATGGGTCTGTACTCTACCACTGCTCTGCCAGTGTTCTCCACACGCTTAGCACACAGTGTCAGTGTGCACTCTGCCCTGCTCTGCCTGCTTCTAGCAGGTGACTGCAGGCAAGGAAGCAAACTTGCCCAAGCCTGTCACCTCACGTATCTGCCTTACACAGTGGTAGCTGGAGCACACCTGAAGTTCACGTGTCTATGGCACCCTCAGGAGGGCCTTTTCCCTCAGGGTTGTGACCTCATTGCAGGAAAATCCTGTTGGTTTGTGCTCACTTTGGTACTGCTTACCACAGCCCCTGCAATGGTACTTCCCTGAAGAATGAATGAATGAACAGAATCCTCCCACAGTCCTATGGACAAGAAAACAGGGCCCATTACAGGTTTGGGGGAGGAGCTGGAGTCTTCTGGGACTGACTGTCCCATGCCAAGTCAGCAATTATTACAGAACTTATAGAATTGCCAAGGCATGGTGGTACATGCCTAAAATCCCAGCACGTGGGAGGCTGAGGCAAGAGAATCACTGTGAGTTCCAGGCCAACCTGGACTACATAGTGAGTTCAAAGCCATTCCGAAGTACATAGCACAATCCTGTCTCCAAAAAGAAAATTTTGCATTACAAGGCATGCACCCAGCTTATTTTATAATTATAATTAAATTATAATATAATAATTATTTACTAGTATGAAACTCGTTTACCCTTCACAACCCATAAGTCAGTAGTATTAATGCTATTTCTGGGAGAAGCCAGCGACAGCCAAGGTGAAGGCAGTGAGAAGCAGAGGTGGGTGGAGCACAGGGGCTGAATAATTATAATATAATTATAATTAAATTATAATTATAAAATAAGCTGGGTGCATGCCTTGTAATCCCAGCACTCAGGAGGCTGAGGCAGGAGGGTTGCTGTGAGTTTGGGGCCAGCCTGGACTACATAAGTGAGTTCAAGGCCAGCCTGAACTGTATAGCAAGACCTTGTCTCAAATAAAAAGACAAAATTGCAGACATTAAACAAGAGCTAGTTGGGTCAGATGATGGAAAGTGTGGACTGACAGCCAATGACAGAGCATGCGCCCTGCCCAGGGAGAAGTGGGGAGACCATTCATTCATTCAGCCCCTGGGCTCTGCTTCTCACTGCCTTCACCTCAGCTGTCGCTGGCTTCTCCCAGAAATAGCATTAATACTACTGACTTATGGGTTGTGAAGGGTAAACGAGTTTCATACTAGTAAAGCACTCAGAATAAAGGGACAAGGCTGGTGTTGGTAAGCATGTGTAGAGGCATTAGGGTTTCTTCTAATTTTTTTATTTTATGAAAAACTAAAAATTTCATAATCAAATGACTAAAGAATAACAATAGTTACCACACCGTGTATCATTATTGTCAACAATATGCAGGCCTAGGCCATGTACTCAGAGTACAAGATATAAACCAAAAAGATTCTTACAAAAAAGAAGCAAACACATAACAACATATCGATCTTCCTTTTCAACAAACTAAGATAAACTAGTAGTATAAATGAAATCAGCTAGCATATATATTGAAATATTTTTAAACCAATAGAATTTGTAATTTGGGAAAGTAATTGAAATTCTCCCTACTTCTTATTTATCTTTCCTCTACTTTGCTGTGTGTGTGTGTGTGTGTGTATAGTGTTTCTCATAGAAAAGAAACTGAAACATTGGAACTTGCGTGTCTGACTTATTTCACTTAACAGTATGTTCTCGAGTTGCATCCAATTGCCTATAAATGCCTCCAGTTTATCCTTATTGCAGTGCAGTACTCCATTCTGTAGAAGTACATTTCCTTATCCATTCATCGGTTGATGACGTATATGCTGTTTCCAAGTTCTAGCTATTATAAATTGTGCTGCTATAAACAGGGGTATGAATATATCCTAATATGATTTTAACTTTTGAGAAGACACGTAGAAGGGGGATAGCTGTGTCAGATGGAATTCATATGTTTAGTTTTCTGAGGAATCTCTACATTTATTTCGATAGTGGTAATACTAGTTTACATTCTCATGGACAGTGCAGTAGAGTTCCTCCTTCCCCACATCTTCACCGGCATTTGTTATTTTAATATTGTTCGATGCTAGCCATTCTTTCTGGGGTGGATGGCCAGCAATGATGAGCATTTTTCATGTACTGATTAGCCATTTGTACTTTGTACGAGAAGTATCTACTCATTTTGGTTGCCCATTTTGAGATTGGGTCTTTTATTTGGGGGTCTAATTTTTTATATCATTGTCTATTCTTGATGTTAGTCCTATGCTCATAGAATAGCTGGCAAAATTTTTTTCACATTCTGTAACTGTCTCTTCACTCTGTTGGTTGTTTCCCCTGCTATGCAGAAGTTTTTAACTTTGGTATGATCCCATTTGTTGATTCTCAGTATTATTTCTTGTGCTACTGGGGGTTCCGTTCAGAAAGTCCTGGCCTATGCCTATGTCAAAGAGTTGTATTTACTTTATCTTTCTATAGATTGCTTCTGTCTTAACATTTATATCTTTAACCCACTTTTATTTTGGTACGTGGTAAGATGCATGCATCTAGACTCAGTCTTCTGCAGGTGGATATTAAATTTTTCCATGCCCCTTTATTAAAGATGGTTCCATTTCTTCCAGTGACTGTTTCTGGCTCATTTGTCAAGATCAAATCACTGTATGTGCCTGGGGTTGTTTCTGCTTCTTCTATTCTGTTGCATTGATCCATATCCTTTTTTGGTGAAAATACCATGATGTAGCTTTATAATTTCTAGCCTGGGATTGTGATGTCACTGGTTTTGGTTTTTGTCATCCAAAGTTACCTTTGCTATTCTTAATCTCTTCTTATTTCATGTAAATTTTAGGATTGTTTTCTCTAGCTCTATAAAAAATGGTGTTGGTATTTTGATTAGGATAGCATCAGATCTATGTATCAGTTTTGGAGGCATAGCTATTTTGATTATGTTGAGTCTGCCTAATTAGGAACAGGTTTTTTTTCCATTTTTTGATGTCCTCTTCAATTTTTATTTTTTCATTTTTCCATTTTCCATTTTTTGATGTCCTCTTCAATTCCTTTCTCATTCTGATAAAATTTTCATTGTAGAAGTCTTTCATTTCCTTATATTAAAACTTAATTATTTAACTTTTTATGATACTGGGAATGGTATTCCTAATGTTTTTCTAATTTCTTTTTCAGTGAGTTTATTATTAGTGTATGGGAATGCTACTGATTTTTGTATATTTTGTATTCCTGCTGTATTACTCAATTTGGTTATCAATTCTAGGAGTCTTTTGGTGGAGATTTTGCATCTTGTAAGTAAAAGATCATCTGCAAACAATAATATTTTGACTTTGTCCTTTCCTGTACATTCCCTTTTTATTTCTTTCTCTTGCCTGATTACTCTGGCTAATGTATCAAGGGCTATGATGAATAGGATTATTGATAATGGGCGTCACTGTCTTTTTCCTGATTTCAGAGGAAAAGTTGTCAGCTTTTTACTATTTAAAATGTTATTGACAGTAGGTTAGTCATAAGTAGGTTTTATCATGTTGAGATAAGGACTTCTTTGTCTATTTTTAAAGGGCTTTTTTAAATCATGAATGGACCTTGGATTTTGTCAAAGACTTTTTGTACATCTGTTAAGCTTGCCAGTATATTGTAAAGGATTTTTTGCATCTATGCTCATTAGAGAAATATATAATTCTCTTTCTTGGTTTGATCCTTGTCTGGTCTGATTAGTGAGTTAAGTCCATTTATATTGACAGTTTCTAATCAATAGATATCGACTTTTTCCTGTCACTGTATTAATTTCCTATTGCTGTTTTACTTTCTTTCCCATCTTAATTACTCTCCCTACTGATGTATGCTTTTTATTGGGACTTTTGGTGTTGTTAGTTTCATTGTTTCTTTCTAGGATATCCTTGAGAGTTTTTTGGAGTGTTGCTTTGGTGATCATGAATTTCTTTGTTTTTAAT